AGTAGAGACGGGGTTTCACCATGTTGACCAGGATGGTCTCAATCTCTTGACCTCGTGATCCACCCGCCTGGGCCTCCCAAAGTGCTGGGATTACAGGCTTGAGCCACCGCACCTGGCCTGGTGATTGTGATTTTCTAAAGGGCAGAGACCATATCTAATGCGTCTTTGTGTTTCTAGTGCCTCATTATTTAATATACAGTAGGTTTCAGTAAATGTTTATTAAACTACTGGTAGGGTTATATAAAGTAAATATATCTAGAATTTTTTATTCAGTTTTCCTTACTTTCCTCTTTACAGGAAAAAGGTCACTGGTCAGAACAGCAAGAAGAAAGTAGCTCTTGAAGACAAAAATTAAAAACAGACTTTAAAAACAGTGTCCCAGAAATGCAATTTTATGATCCCAGCATGAATGTTTTTCTCATGGAATACTTGAAGTCTTACAGTCACCTGTGCCAGACATTTGAAATCAACTACAAGCACATGGACTGGTGAAAAATGATCCTAAACTTTCAAGTCAATTTCAATTTGTAGGTGCCTTGTTTTTTTTCTTGAGAGATGGGTGCTCCCTATGTCGCCCGGTTGGTCTTGAACTCCTGACCTCATGCAATCATCATGCCTCAGCCTCCTGAGTAGCTGAGATTATAGGCACAAGCCACTGCACCTGTAGTTGATTGACTTTTAAATGATTATACAATTGAAATAACATTCATTGACATTTCTATGGTTTGAATCCAGAAAGATACTTCTTAAAGAAGAACAAAAGTTTATGCTAAAAATATCACCCAAATGTGGGGAACTTTTAAGGACTTTTCCCTTCAAATGTGAAGGAAGGTGTGATGAATGCTATGGAGAGGCATCTGGAACAGAAATTCTAAATAAAGCCTTTACATTAAATACCCCTTCGACCCCTCACTTTTTTTGTGGATGGTAGTATGGACTATCTACCAAGAAGAAACCTGCTGTTCTCTTAATATTTCCTAATTTGTTGATGGCCTCTTCTGTGGCTGGTTATTCAAGTTCCCTGGGATTTTAAATTCTTTGGTCTATTAAGTATCCTTGTATTGGACACATAATACCTCAGCTGTCATAGTATTGCACAAGATCTTGATCAGCTTCTCCCTTGCTTCATTTTCCATCATTTAACCATGTTCTTTCCTGTCTCTTTCCACTTAAGATTATTTTATTTGAATGCTGATAAACATTTTATCCTGATGAGGAAGAACATTCCTGTTACTTGCTATACCTCTGTCTTCATTCTCTTAGATCTTATCTTCCCTTCGGTTGATGGCTCCTCATCTAGTAAGCAGATCTCTGCCTAAGCTAAAGGAGACTATTGTTGGAGACTGTTGGCCATTAGATTTTTCTCAAATATAAGTTCTATATAATGGAATGAAAAATTGACTTTGTACATGTAAGGCTGGTGCCTAAGAATGACATGAATGTTATCAGTGTGATCATAGATGTATTCTCAGCAGCATTTGAATTCAACTTACTTATTTCCTCTATTCGTAGCTTTTTATTCTACAGTCAGAACAGGTGGACTTTGAATATTTTAGATGGGACAGAAATTGTTCATCTTCAGAATTTATTTAAAGAAAGACGTACTGGTACAGGATATAAAAATACTTACAAAAATATGAATTTTTTGTTTGTTTATGCAAACAGATCCTCTACCCAATATATGTACTAGCGGTAGGTATACTGGTGCAAGCCATTTGCCAGCTGAGTGACTTTGAAAGTTCTCAATTTCTCAGAGTTTCAGTATTTTCATCTATGAAATTATGTCTCAGATTGGAAGTACCTAGCACCGTGCCTGACACATCATAAATTCACAATAAATATTCCTTTAACAAACATAGATTTTGTTAGGAATACAGGCTTGATAACACAGTGCCTACCCTTACAATGTAATGTTAGCGATAAGGTAAAGGAAAAAATATAGTCATGCATCACTTAATGACAGGGATACATTCTGAGAAACACATCGTTAGGTGACTGTATCATTATGTGAACATCATGCTTTATACTTCCACAAACCTAGATGGTATAGCCTACTGTACACCTAGGCTATATGGTATAGTCTATTGCTCCTAGGCTACAAACTCATACAGCATATTAGCGTCCTGAATGCTACAGGCAGTTGGAACATACTCTACTCTAGACTCTTACAAACATTGCATGCTTAGCCTAGATTTATTAAAAATATTTTTTGTGGCCAGGCGTGGTGGCTCACACCTGTAATTCTTATACTTTGGGAGGCCTAGGTGGGCAGATCATCTGAGCTCAGGAGTTCAAGTCTAGCCTGGGCAACATGGCAAAAACCCCATCCCTACTAAAGGAAAAATACAAAAAAATGTTAGCCAGGTGTGGTGGCATGCACCTGTAGTCCCAGCTAATCAGGAGGCTGAGCTTCAAGGAGAATCACTTGAAGCTGGGAGGTGGAGGTTACAGTGAGCCGAGATTGCACTATTGCACTCCAGCCTGGGAGATAGAGTAAGACTCTGTCTCAAAAAAGAAAAGAAAAAAAAAATACATATATATATATATATATATATGTGTGTGTGTGTGTGTGTGTGTGTATGTATAATATATATAACATTTTTTCTTCAATAAATTAGCTTACTGTTAACTTTTTTACTTTATAAGATTTTGTTTTTCTTTCTTTTTTTTTTTTGAGAAACAGGGTCTGTTACCTAGTCTGGAGTTTAGTGGCACAATCATGGCTTACCGCAGTCTTGACCTCTTAGGCCCAAGTGATTCTCTAACCTCAGCTTCTTAAGTAGCTGATGCTATCGGTGCAGGCCACCAAACTCAGCTAACTTTTTTATTTTTATTTTTTGTAGAGATGAGACGAGGTCTTGCTTGTTGTACAGATTGGGTTTTTTAGATTTTTTTTTTTTTTTTTTTTTGAGATGGGAGTCTTGCTCTGTCACCCAGACTTGAGTACAGTGGCATGATCTCAGCTCACTGCAACCTCTGCCTCCTGGGTTCAAGTGATTCTCCTGCCTCACCCTCCTGAGTTGCTGGGACTGCAGGCATGTGCCACCACACCCAACTCATTTTTGTATTTTTAGTAGAGACATGGTTTCACCATGTTGTCCAGGCTGGTCACAAACTCCTGACCTCAGGTGAACCACTACACCTGGCCTTTTTAGACTTTCTGACTCTTGTAATAACACTTAGCCTAAAATGCAAATGTACAGCTGTAAAAAAAATTTTTTCTTTCTTTATATTCTTATTCTAGAAGTTTTTTTCTTTTTTTTAAATTTTACTGATTACTTCTTAAGCTTTTTTGTTAAAAACTAAGGCACAAACACATTATGCTAGGTCTACAAAAGGTTAGGATCATCAGTCTCTCTGTCTTCCACCTCCACTTCTCATCCCACCATTCTATCTGCTATCTGTGGCTGACCAAAACATCATCATGTAGCACATGACTAGTGTGGTAAGTGCTCTGTTAGATATAAGGCCATGATGCTAAAGCATCACAGGAAGGCATCTAACCCAGATTGGGTTGTTATGGAAGGCTGACATCCTGAGTTGAATCCTGCAAATGTAAAAATCAATAGGCAAAGAAGAGGAACAAAAAGAAATTACAGGCCAGGCGTGGCTCACATCCTGGCACTGGGAGGCCAGAGTGGGAGCATAGCTTGAGCCCAGGAGTTTGAGACCGGCCTGGGCAACATAGATCCTGTCTCTACAAATATAACTCGCCTGGCGTGGTGGTGTATGCCTTTGGTCCCAGCTACTCAGGAGGCTGAGGTGAGAGCCCAGGAGATGGAGGCTGCTGCGAGCCATGATCATGCCACTGCGCTACGGTCTGGACAACACACCGAGACTCTGTATCAAAAAAAAAAAAAAAAAAATCACAGTGAGAAATATGCCAAAATAGCTTCAGAGTAATTATGAACTGCTTCCAGAAAAGCTGTTTTGCACTTGCCTGCAAGAATAGGAAAAACAAAGGGACTGTGAGTGGCAGGATGACAGAACCAAACGAGTAGTACACCTTGGAGATTTTTTAAATGTGGGTTGGGTTTTTGTGCTCTTGGTTGATAAATTTTAAATGCCTTCAGCGTCTGTGATGGGTGCCAACATGAAGCTGTCGAGTTCTAGGGAAAGGAGGGAGAGCTGATCACCGCTAATCAGTGCTGTGAGACTATCCCTTCAGGACCTATCTGTTCCTTGTGTGTAAAGAGTAATAATAAAAACACCAGTGTCACACCGTCTAGTTTAAAACAGGACTCAGCCTATTCTTACCACTAAACCGAGATCATGGTTTTCAAACGGAGGACCAACGGCACTTTGCCACTCGGTAGCCAGCTGGGCCCTGCAGAGGGCCCTGCCAGGCAATGAATCAGCTCCCTTGGAGAGGCGCCCGCGACCGCCCCACCAGCCCGAGAGCTAGAATTGAACCTGGGGGACCCATCGCGGCGCCGGGTCACGTGCCGAGGGCGCGCCACGCCTCCTTGAGGGCCGGATGAGTCACGTAGGCGCGCAGCCCCGCCCCATCGCCTGGTCCGCGGCGCGGTGGGGCCTGGTGTTTGCCCCGGAAGTGGCTGTCTTCAGTTGACAGCTGCTACTAAGGTGGCGGCGGCGAACGCAGCGGTAGCGGCAGCGGCAGCGGCAGGCCCGTAGCAAGATGGCGCTGCGGCCGGGAGCTGGTTCTGGCGGCGGCGGGGCCGCGGGAGCCGGCGCAGGGGCCGCCGGGGGAGGCAGGTGGGTGTGAAGAGCCGGGCGGGAGCCCCCTGGCCTCCGCGGCGGCGAGGGGCGCTTGGCGGTTGTGGCGGTTTTCTCCAGTTCCGACCCTTTTCCTTGGAACTGGGCTGCGAGAGAAGGGTCATTACCCAGGGACCCAGGCCGAAAGGGGCGGGTGGAGCCCGGGTGCCCAACGCTTGTGTTCCGGGCTCAGTTGGGGCCGCCGGCCGCCTGGGGTCGAGCGGGGAGCGGGCGTGCGCCCAGTGTGGCGGGGCGGGGGGGGGTTCCTCGCCGGCTGGGTGGGCGGGGTAAGTGAGGAACCCCGACTCCGCTTCTAGTCCTGGCTGCCTCTGAAGCGACCAGGGTCTTCCCTTTCCCCGGGCTTTCTAGACTTGACCAGATATGTTGGAGGGAGGGCTCCAAAAATCTGTTCACAAAGCTGGAGGACTGTTTCCAAGGGGTGTGTGTGTCTGGACGATTTGTCTCTTCCCCTTTTACTGTCCTGTCCTCTTTATTTCCTCAACCCGCGACAAACAGCAGGAAGATCTAAAGACCTCTGAATTGGTAATTGTCTTGAGACAGAGCTCTTGTCTTGTATACTAACTCTTAAGACTTGTCTGTCTCCTTTTTAAAAAGGCATTTAAAAACAAAGAAAACGCCCTGTTAAACAGCAGTTGCGCATTTACTAGAACAAAGCTTCCAGACTCTTACTTAGCCCTTAAACAAATCTGCCCTCTGGCACATTTCAGCTAGGAACTGCCTGTGGTTCTTATACCCAGAACCGTAAGGGAGACGTACATTTGCAAGTTGACATGTTCATCATCACTTGAGGAAATATTTTATTCTGGGAAGTTTTCACTCCACTTCTGTAATGACCTACTCTGATTTTGTTTTACTAACCAACATATACAGCACACACATTTGGAGGTAAAGTAGCTTTGCATCTTCAGTATCCTAAATTATCTTTGGAAAACGAAGTGTTGGGTTTTTTTAAAAAATATATGCAGTGTTTCAGTTTTGTCGTGAACACTACAAAAGTCTAAGGTCCTTAAAGTTATCACCTCTTACAGGTGGTGTATATATAGATTATACACACATATATATATATGTATCAGAAAACAAGCAGTGGCTGTTCAATAAACCACCTGTGTGTGCAACCTCATTTTTCATTACCTCTGCACATCTTTGACTTTAGATTTAAAACTTTTTGTTTTTTGTTCTCTTCGTTGTTTTCATTAGAGAGTTTTAAAAAAAATAAGTACTTGGTGTAAGCCAGTTTCTGGCTCAAGAAGAAACATGTAATAATTTCCCCTCTATTTGTTTTATTTTTTCTTTTTCTTTTTTTCTTTTTTTTGAGATGAAGTCTCTCACTCTGTTGCCCAGGCTGGAATGCAGCAGCGCGATCTTGGCTCTCACTGCAACCTCCGCCTCCTGGGTTCAAGCGATTCTCCTGCCTCAGCCTCCTGAGTAGCTGGGATTACAGGTGCGCACCACCATGCCCTGGTAATTTTCGCTGATTGATTGAGAGACAGTCTCGTTCTATTACCCAGGCTGGAGCGCCGTGGCACCATCTCGGCTCACTGCAACCTCTCCTTCCCAGATTCAAGCGATTCTCCTGCCTCAGCCTCTCAAGTAGCTGGGATTAGAGGCAGGTGCCACCACACCCAGCTGATTTCTGTATTTTTAGTAGAGACGGGGTTTCGCCATGTTGGCCAGGCTGGTCTCAAAATTCCTGGTCTCAAGTGATCTGCCCTCCTCAGGCTCCCTAAGGTCTGGAATTACAGGTGTGAGCCACTGCACCCGGCCTCCTCTGTTTATTTTCTATATGTGATGACAGTTTCTAAAATGTCCTTGGGTGGCGTTACTTTGATCAAGTATATGATTTTTTTTTTCCCTTTGGGACTTGAACCCTGGACCCTCGATCAAGTATATGATTAATCATGGCACCAAGTTCTCGGAAAATGTAAACTTAGAATTGATATCTAGGCCTAAACTTTTATTTACTTAAAAATGTTTTGGGGCGGGGAGGACCTCAAGTTCAGAAATTCAAGTTTAGTTTATAGAATTTGAGTATCATTGGTCCATGGACACAATTTTTTAAATAAATATGGGTTGAATTTTGATAGAAATTGTAATGATTTTAAAGTTTCCCTCCTTTGTAAATGTAGTAACATCTGCATTTTAAAACTCTAAATAACATATGGAAGAGAAAGAAGTGATTAAAATGATCCTTACCTTGAAAAATGTATGGTACATATGTTACGTATATTGGCAAATTTCTGAGCCTGAGAAGCTATACTCTAAATAGAAAAGGAATATTACGTTTTTTAGAGAGTAATGGTAAAAGCTGAAGTTATTTTATTTTAGTTTTAATTTTCTTTTTGCCACCCACCCTCCCTGAAATTATTTTATGAGGAAACTAACATTATGGCAACCTAAGTGCATTTGAACAAAAAGAACAGGCAACTTTACGCCTTTGATGGAGAAAATCCATGAACTATAACTGACCATGTTGTTTAGATACTTCCTGTATTCTAAGAGGCTAAGCAAAACACAATAACTTTTTCCAAATTTATTATTAGCCTACTTTTGATTGGTATCCTGAATGAACTACTTTAGAATAAATAGTAGAGTTGTATAAAGGGCAAAATTTGCCCAAGAGGTGAGAAATATAATTTTTTTTTTTTAAATCAAGTAAGGCAGAAAAAAAAGAGTTGAAAGATCAGGATTAGTCTGTAATCATTCAGCTGGTAGTCATTGAATGCCTACATGTGTAAGGTACTGTTCTTGATGCTGTAATGAATTAAAAGGACATCAAAACATGGTCCTCATCCTTGGAGAATGTACAAAATAACTGTGGTACAAAGTAAAGGAGAACGAAGAGGCCATATTATCATTTGCGAACTTGTCTTTTTTCCTGATCTTTTATAAGCTTTCAGAAGGCTTCCTCATCTTTTCTTCCACTGCTTCTAGCACATTTTTGCACATAGAAAACATTCTGTAAATATTTGTGGATTCCAGCTATATTGAAGGCAAAGAAGTGGTATTTCAGTTGGGCCACAGAGTTGCAGGAAGAGGAAGTGGTCAAGAGATCGTCATAGAGATGGGAAGGCCTAGTGAACACTAAGGAAGCAGCACACCTGCAGTGCTAGGTGACTAGCTCCGAGTGGCGGAGAAGAGTTTTGTGAGATAAAACTGAAAGGAGAGCTGTACCCAAACTAGAGAGGGCCTGGAGTTGAAGGAAATTCTGTTTCAGGGAAATCATTCCATGGTTTTAACTCTAGGAGTGCATCTTGCTAAAGGACCATTTAATTATTGCTTAATGGTCCTTTAGAAAGATGCTTCTCACTTGTGCTGCATCAGATGAATTAGAAACCAGAGTCTGGAGGTGGGAGATCCATTAAGAAGTTTTTATGCTGGGCACAGTGGCTCACGCCTGTAATCCCAGCACTTTGGGAGGCCAAGGTGGGTGGATCGCCTGAGGTCAGGAGTTCGAGACCAGCCTGGCCAACATGGAGAAAACCCCATCTCTAGTTTAAAAAAAAAAAAATAGCTGGGCCTGTAATCCCAGCTACTTAGGAGGCTGAGACAGGAGAATCACTTGAACCCAGGAGGCGGAGGTTGCAGTGAGCTGAGATTGCGCCATTGCACTCCAGCCTGGGCAACAAGAGCGAAACTCCATCTCAAAAATTATTAAAAAAATGCCTTTTGGCTCTCTGAGCAGCACCATGGCGGTTGGCAAGAACAAGCGCCTTACGAAAGGCGGTAAAAAGGGAGCCAAGAAGAAAGTGGTTGATCCATTTTCTAAGAAAGATTGGTATGATGTGAAAGCACCCGCTATGTTCAATATAAGAAATATTGGAAAGACGCTAGTCACCAGGACCCAAGGAACCAAAATTGCATCTGATGGCCTCAAGGGTCGAGTGTTTGAAGTTAGTCTTGCTGATTTGCAGAATGATGAAGTTGCATTTAGAAAATTCAAGCTGATTACTGAAGATGTTCAGGGCAAAAACTGCCTGACTAACTTCCATGGCATGGATCTTACCCGTGACAAAATGTGTTCCATGGTCAAAAAATGGCAGACAATGATTGAAGCTCATGTTGATGTCAAGACTACCGATGGTTACTTGCTTCGTCTGTTCTGTGTTGGTTTTACTAAAAAACGCAACAATCAGATACGGAAGACCTCTTATGCTCAGCACCAACAGGTCCGCCAAATCCGGAAGAAGATGATGGAAATCATGACCCGAGAGGTGCAGACAAATGACTTGAAAGAAGTGGTCAATAAATTGATTCCAGACAGCATTGGGAAAGACATAGAAAAGGCTTGCCAATCTATTTATCCTCTCCATGATGTCTTCGTTAGAAAAGTAAAAATGCTGAAGAAGCCCAAGTTTGAATTGGGAAAACTCATGGAGCTTCATGGTGAAGGCAGTAGTTCTGGAAAAGCCACTGGGGATGAGACAGGTGCTAAAGTTGAACGAGCTGATGGATATGAACCACCAGTCCAAGAATCTGTTTAAAATTCAGACTTATAATAGTGGCAAATAAAATGTGTGGCAAATAAAATGTCTTATCTGTGGCCGGGCGTGGTGGCTCACGCCTGTAATCCTAGCACTTTGGGAGGCTGAGGTGGGTGGATCACCTGAGGTCGGGAGTTCAGAACCAGCCTGGTTATCATGGTGAAAGCCCATCTTTATTTTAAAAAATAAAATAAAATAAAAAAAGTCTAAAAAAAAAAAAAAATTATTAAAAAAATAAAAATAAAAAAGTTTTTATGTAGGAGTCTAGGCCTAAGAAGTGAGGTCTAGTGTCAAATCTAGGTTAGTAGCAAAGGTAACTGAAAAGCAGGGACACATGAGTTAGGTAAGTGACAGAGCTCTGCTTTCATACCGAGATATCAGTAATATATGAATTAGGGGTTTTACCTTTGAAATTAAATTGTTGGTCACCTTGTTGCCCAGTTTTTTGCCAAGATTTTGCTGTCTTATTAATGTCTTAGCTGCTTACCTAACCAATATTTAAGCATGTTGATATTAGTTATCTAAACATTTCAGAGAAAAATGTGAATTTTTCATAGATCACTAAGCAGTCTCAGTTGCTAAATTCTTACTAGAGAAAGTCATGTTTGTCAGTAGTCTTAATTTTGTTTTCAAAGTAACCATTATATATCTGTATGTTACGCATGTCTATGTGGTTGTCTTAGCTGAGACTTTAGCAGACTTGATTCTGAATTCTCATTTGACAGGGGAAACCAGACGGGGTGAAGGAGATTGCACAAAGCTTCACAGTTACTTTATGGCAAAGCTGAAAGAAAAATTATAACACGAGTTTCCAATTCTTCTGAGCCACTAGGTCATATGACTAATTTACATGTTTAAGGCTGATTTTTAAAACCCTTGACAGGTTGATTCCTTAAATGTATTCATTGTTCCTAAATTTATCAATTTTAGCATATGAGTAATGTCTTTTAAAACTGAATACAGGCATACCTCATTGCAGTTAGCAGTTACAGCTTTTTTTTTACAAATTGAAGGTTTGTGGCAACCCTGCATCCAGCAAGTTTATCAGCACAATTTTCCGACAGCCTCTGTTCACTTCGTGTCTCGTCACGTTTTGGTAATTCTCACAATATTTCAAACTCTTTCATTACTATTATTTGTTATGATAATCTGTGATCAGTGATCTTTGATGTTACTGATCTTTGATCAGTGTAATTGTTTTGGAGCACCACAAGCCCAGCTCGTATAAGACAGCAAATGTAATCGATAAATGTTTTGTGTAGTCTGACTGCTGCACCTACCAGCTGTTCCCCTGCCTTCCTCTCCAAGGGCCTCCATATTCCCTGAGACAGAACCATATTGAAATTAAGCCAATAAACCCTACAGTGGCCTCTAAGTGTTCAAGTGAAAGGAAGAGTTGCACATCTCTCCCTTTAAATCAGAAGCTAGAAATAAAGCTTAGTTAAGTGTTGAAAGCTGAGGTAGGTCAAAAGCTGGGCCTCTTTCAGCACTTAACCTTAAGTTGCGAATACAGAGAAAAAGTTCTTGAAGGAAATTAAAAGACTTATTCCAGGAAACACAAATGTTGAGAAAGTGAAACAGCTTTATTGCCAGTATCGAGAAAGGGTGAGTGGTCGGGATAGATCAGACCACCCTTAACATTCCCTTAAGCCAAAGCCTAATCTGGAGCAAAATCCTTGTCTCTTCAATTCTATGAAGGCCGAAGGCTGAGAGAGGTGAGGAAGCTGCAGAAGAAAAGTTGGAAGCTAACAGGTCGGTTTATGAGGTTTAAGGAAAGAAGCTATCTCTAGAACATAAAAGTGCAAGGTGAAGCAGCAAGTGCTGATGTGAAAGCTTTAGCAAGTTATTCAGAAGAGCTAAGATCATTGATAAAGGTGGCTGTGCTAAACATAGATTTTTTTTCTTTTTTTTTTTTTAGACAGTCTTTCTCTGTTGTTCAGGCTGGAGTGCAGTGGCGTGATCTTGGCTCACTGCAATTTCTGCCTCCCAAGTTCAAGTGATTCTTTTGCCTCAGCCTCCCTACTAGCTGGGACTACAGGTGTGTGCTACCACACCCAGCTAATTTCTTTTCTGGTTTTTTTTTAGACTGAGTTTCATGCTTGTCACCCAGGCTGGAGTGCAATGGCACGATATTGGCTCACTGTAGCCTCCGCTTCCTGGTTTGAAGTGATTCTCCTGCCTCAGCTTCCCCATTAGCTGAGATTACAGGTGCGCGCCACGCCCGGCTAATTTTATATTTTAGTAGAGATGGGGTTTCACCATGTTGGCCAGGCTGGTCACAAACTCCTGACCTCAGGTAATCCACCTGCCTTGGCCTTTCAAAGTGCTGGGGTTACAGGCGTGAGTCATCACACCCGGCCTAATTTTCGTATTTTTAGTGGAGACTGGGTTTCACCATGTTGGCCAGGCTGGTCTTGAACTTCTTACCTCAAGTGATCCATCCGACACAGCTTACCAAAGTGTTGCGATTACAGGCGTGAGCCACTGTGCCTGGCCAGATTTTCACTGTAGACGAAGATGCCATCTAGGACTTTCCTAGCTAGAGAGGACAAGTCAATGCCTGACGCTAAATAACAGGCTGACTCTCTTGTTAGGGCCTAATGCAGAAGGTGACTTTAAGTTGAACCAGTGCTCATTGACCACTTTGAAAATGTCAGGGCTTTTAAAATGCTGAATCTCTGCCTTTACTCGGTAAATGGAACCACAAAGCCTAGGTGACAGCACATCTGTATACAGCATGGTTTACTGAGTATTTTAAGCACATTATTGAGACCTACTGCTGAGAAAAAGATTCTTTTGAAAATATTACTGCTTATTGACAATGTGGCTGGTCACCTAAGAGCTCTGATGGCAATACATAAGAAAGTTAATGTTGCCTACTAAAGCAACATCCATTCTACAGACCATGAAATCGAGTGATTTCTTCTTTCATCTCTTATTTGAGAAATTCATTCCATAAGGCTATAACTTTCATAGATACTGATTCTTTTGATTGAATTAGGCACAGTAAATTGAAAACTTTCTGGAAAATGAATCACTATTATCTCTTTCATTTATTATTATTGTTGTTATTTTGGAGAGATGGGTCTCACTATGTTACGCAGGCTGGTCTCCAACTCAGGGGCTCAAGTGATCCTCCAACCTTGGCCTCCCAAAGTGCTGGGATGACAGGTGTGAGCCACCAGACCCAGCCATTCACTAGATTCCCTAAAGGGTATCTAGAAACCTCCTTATCAAATCCTTGACTCCCAGATTAAGAGCCTTTCTTACTCAGAAGTCATCCTTGGTTTTGTCCCTTTTTCTTTCCAGTCTCAGAGAAAGAAGTCCCACTTCCTTTTCAAAGCAGATCCCTTTTGCTGCTTTGTTTTGTTTTGTTCTGTTTTGAGGTAGAGTCTGGCTCTGTCACTCAGGCTGTAGTGCAGTTGTGCAACCTCCGCCTCCTGGGTTCAAGCAGTTCTCATGTCTCAGCTTCCCAGGTAGCTGGGATTACAGGCACATGCCACCACACCCAGCTAATTTTTGTATTTTTAGTGAAGATGGAGTTTTACCATGTTGACCTGGCTGGTCTTGAACTCGCAGCCTCAAATGATCTGCCTGCCTTGGCCTCCCAAAGTGCTGGGATTATAGGCATCCATCACCGCAAGCCTCTGCCCCCTTTTGCTACTTTGCATATTAATCCCATTTCCTCAAAAACCTTATCAATCACTAAGTATGTATTTTATCTCTTGTTTTTTCTCCCTAGGATCTCTGTATTGAAACTCTCACTCAAAGATCACCATTTTTGAAAGCAGTGATTTATGTTTTAATCTTCATTCTCACCACTATTTTACAGCATTAGACACTGGCAACTACTTCCTTGTTGAAATGTGGTCCTTCCTCGGTTGTAAATCTGTTATAAGTACTTCCTTGGTTTTTGATGAGCATTTCCTATTCAGTTTTCCCTGTAAGACTGTACCCCCAGCAGTTTGGGAGGCCAAGGTGGGCAGTTTATGAGGCCAGGAGTTCAAAACCAGCCTGGCCAACATGATGAAACCCCATCTCTACTGAAAATACAATAATGAGCCAGGTGTGGTGGTGCTTGCCTGTAGTCTCAGCTACATGGGAGGCTGAGGCAGGAGAATTTCTTGAGCCTGGCAGACGGAGGTTACAATGAGTGGAGATTGTGCCCCTGCTCTCCAGCCTGGGTGGTAGAGCAAGATTCTGTCTCAATTTAAAAAAAAAAGAGCCTAACTAGGTTTCTCTAGATCTTTCTCCTGAGCTTGAGTTACTTTTTTGATTGCCTGCTAAATTGTTCCTCATGAACACACTCCTGTCACCTTTCTCCCCAAGCCTGCTCATATTGAGTTCCTGTTTTCACTGAATGCATCACCATCCTTTGCAGTTACTCAGGATCAGGGTCTCAGCATCATCTTCAGCTCTTTTTGCTTTTGCACGACTGTTCCCCTATCCTGGCCTTTGCCAGGTCATATTGATCCTTTCTTTTACGTATCTTTTATTCACTTCTACTTTTCCATTTCTACTACTTTCATTATGATACTTTACTTTTTTTTTTTTGAGACGGAGTTTCACTGTTGTTACCCAGGCTGGAGTGCAATGGCACAATCTCGGCTCACTGCAGCCTCCGCCTTCTGGGTTCAAGGAATTCTCTTGCCTCAGCCTCCTGAGTAGCTGGGACTACAGGCGCACACCACCATGCCCAGCTAATTTTTTTTTTTTCTGTATTTTTAGTAGAGACAGGGTTTCACCTTGTTGACCAGGATGGTCTCTATCTCTTGACCTTGTGATCCACCCGCCTCGCCTCCCAAAGTGCTGGGATTATAGGCGTGAGCCACCACACCCGGCGGATACTTTTCATCTGTTATTAAGATTGTTGTGATAGTTTCTTAGCTAGTTCTTTTTACTTTTTCTCTGCCATACCCTGTTACCAGAATAACTTCCTAAAGCTCATTTCTGATCATATCACTCTCCTACTTAAAAATTTCTGACATAAAGGAATGCAAATTAAAACCACAACAAGATACCACTTCAAACTTATCAGGATAGCTATCATCAAAAAAACAGAAAATAAACCAGGTGCCATGGCTGTCACCTATAATCCCAGCTACTCTGGAGGCTAAGGTGAGAGGATTGCTTGAGACCAGGAGTTTGATACCAGCCTGAGCAACATGGCAGACCCTTGTCTAAAAAAAAAAAAGGTTGGGTGTGATGGCTCATGCCTGTAATCCCAGCACTTTGGGAGGCTGAGGCAGGCAGATCACCTGAGGTCAGGAGTTTGAGACCAACCTGGCCAATATGGTGAAACCCCATCTCTACTAAAAATACAAAAATTAGCCCGGCATCGTGGTGCATGCCTGTAGTCTCAGCTACTCAGGAGGCTGAGTTGGGAGAATTGCTTGAACATGGGAGGTGGAGGTTGCAGTGAGCCAAGATTGTGCCACTGCACTCCAGCCTGGGCAACAGAGTGAGACTCATCTTAGAAAAAAAGTAACAAAAACAAAACCCAGAAAATTACAAGTGTTGGTGAGGATGTGGAAAAATTGGAACCCTTTTGCAATCCAAGTGGAAAGGTAAAAATGGTGCAGCCGCTATGGAAAACAGTTTAGCAGTTTCTCAAAAAGTAAGCATAAAATTACCATATTACCTAGCAATTCTACTCCTAGGCATATATCTGAAAGAATTGAAAGAGGGATTCAGACAGGTCTTTGTACACCAATGTTCATAGCAGCACTTCACAGCAGCCAAGAGGTGGAAACAACCCAAATGTCCATGAAGAGAACAAGATCAACAAAATGTGGCATATGCAGACAGTAGAGTATCAGCCATAAAAAGGATCAGAATCATGATACATGCTACAATATGGGTGAACCTTGAAAGTATTTGCCAAAGTGAAATACGCCAGATACAAAAGAGCAAGTATTATATGATTCCATTTGTGTGAGGTCCCTACCTACAACAGGTAAATTCATAGAAACAGAAAGCAAAATAGTGGTTGCTAGGGGCTGGGGGGAGAGAATAATGAGGACTTATTGTTTAATGGGTACAGAGTTTCTGTTTGGGATGATGGAAAAGTTCTGGAAATGGATAGTGGTAATGGTTGTACAGTATTGTAAATGTCCTTAATTATGCCATGGAATTATACACTTAAAAATGCTTAAAATGATAGAATTTTATGTTATGTATAAAATTGTTACCACAAAATGTTTAATTTTATTTTGAGTATTATATGAAGTTGTCAGAGGTTTTATTGTTATTATGGTAACCACAATAAAATTAAACATTTTAAAGGCCTTTGGCCAGGTGTCGTGGCCCATGCCTGTAAGGCATTTTGGGAAGCCAAGGCAGGTGGATCACCTGAGGTCAGGAGATCGAGACCAGCTTGGCCAACATGGTGAAACCCCATCTCTAAAAATACAAAAAATTAGCCGGGCATGGTGGCAGGTGCCTGTAATCCCAGGTACTTGGGAGACTGAGACAGAAAAACTACTTGAACCCAGGAGGTGGAGGTTGCAGTGAGCTGAGATCATGCCGTTGCACTCCAATCTGGGCAACAAGAGTGAAACTCCATTTCAAAAACAAAATTTTTTAAATTAAAATAAAGGCCCTGTACAGTCTGCTCACTTTTGGATCATATAGTTAACATTTAACCTACATTCATCTCTCCAAACATCCCTGCATCTCTGCCTCAAAGCTTTTGCTCAAAATATAGTGTGCCTCTATTTTCCTTTAAGATTTAGCTTGAGAGTTACTTCCATAAAACTCAAGATATAGCCCATTCAGATTCATTTTTTCCCCTCATTTCTATTAGTAATTTGGACCTCGCTTATAGCAGTTAGCACATTTACCCTGTGGTATAGTTATTTGCCTGCATATGTGTCTTTTAGATTACAAGATTCCATCATTTAATGTAGTTGACACTCAATAAATGTTGTCTGAATTGAATCTAATTAAATTCTCTCATTTGATAGATGGAGAAATTGGAATCCAGAGAAGACACACAGTGACAGAGCCAGGACTAGTTTCAGGGTCTTGTGTCTGCTATTTCAATAAGTTTCTGTCTCCACTAGCATGCTGACATGCATATCCATGGATGCTCAATCTACTGATGTTGGGCAGTTCAGTATTGTACTGCAGATCAAACACCAGATCCCATCGATGAGTCTTTCGTCCATATAAAAAAGCACATGTGTTATTTGAAATCTTTGTGCATGTGAAGATTATGATGTATTTTTATTCTGTTTTCAGCTTCATGTTTCCTGTTGCAGGTGGGATAAGACCCCCTCAAGGTATGTGAAAGCTTAAGTTTTGAATGTTTATTTTTCACCCTTGTGTTTCTGAATCTGGGAATTAAATAAGTAAACAGAAAATAAGTTCTGTTGCTGCTAAGTAGAGTAAAATTTTGTATGCTCTTAAACCTATATGGCAGCTACTCTTTTTTTTTTGAGATGGAGTTTTGCTGTTGTTACCCAGGCTGGAGTGCAATGGCACGATCTCGGCTCACCGCAACCTCCGCCTCCTGGGTTCAAGCAATTCTCCCGAGTAGCTGGGACTACAGGCACTCGCCACCATGCCCAGCTAATTTTTGTATTTTTAGTAGAGACAGGGTTTCACCTCGTTGTCCAGGATGGTCTCGATCTCTTGACCTCGTGATCCACCCGCTTCGGCCTCCCAAAGTGCTAGGATTATAGGCGTGAGCCACCGCGCCCGGCCATGGCAGCTACTCTTAAAATTTCTCAAAAACTGTATAATTTGGGTAGTGAATAAGGATCACTCTTCATTTCTCCAAAGCTTATATAAACATGATGCTCATGGATTGTTTAACCTCAGAGGTGAAAGAGACTTTTGGGACAAGAATGTTAAAGAACAGGTGATAAAAATGAAATGAGCTGTAATTTACTTGATTGATGTCTTTCTCCTAGATTGTTAGTGCCAGGTTTGTCTAATGCTCATTTGTATCTCTAGCACCCACTATGCTGATTTAACATAATAACGTTCTCTGTAGATGTTTGTTGAATGAACAAACAAACATCTTTAGTTGTTTCACACTGGTATTTTTTCTCTATTTGATAGTATCTTATTATAATAATGTATTATAAACATATGATTTTGAAATTAAAAGAGATCACATACTCTGATCTTAAGTCTCAGGATTTTGTTTGGGTTTGGGTTTTTATTTTTATTTTTTCTGAGATTGGGGTCTTGCTCTGTCGCCCAGGTTAGATGGAGTACAGTGGCACAATCAAGCTCACTGCAGCCTCGGCCTTCTAGGCTCAAGCAATTCTACCACCTTAGCTTCCCAGGTAGCTGGGACCACAGGTGCATACCACCACCCCTGGCTGATTTTTAAAAAATATTTCATAGAGATAGCGTCTCCTTATGTTGCCCAGGATGGTATCAAATTCCTGGGCTCAAGTGATCCCTCCCAAAGCACTGAGATTACAGGCATAAGCCACCATTTCTGGCCAAGTCTTAGTTTTATTCCTAGAAATTTCTCTACCAAGTATACATCTTCTCTCTTGGTCTCAGACCAGGGCCCACCAGTATCAATTCTGGCTTTATCTTCAAGGAAATAGTAGTGAAGGAATATAATCTTGACCTATGCTGCCATGCAGCTGGGACATAATAGTGGAGAAGGAATATATCTGCCTTTCTCTTGATTCTTTCTGCTCATTTCTCCCACTCTGATATCTTCTCTCTCCCCTCACACCAAGCTGCTTCTGAAAACTGACTCTTCTTAAAAAGCCAGCGTTGATTGGTTATCATAGATTTGCTAGAGAAACAGAGACTCCTGGGTCACCAGTAGAGATAAAAGATAAAGAGCAGCTCAGAAGCAGATGGTCAGTGGCTCATCCTGGCTTTGTCTTCATGTATAATCAGTGATGGTGGTTGAGTTTCAGGTAAGTTTTTCCAAGGGTCAGTTGTATAGTTTTCATCGTGTTCATGTTTCTGAATTATTTAAGCTATCTGTAATTAGATGTGTCCCAGATTGAGATCAAATGGTTCTTTATTTAGGAAGGTATTACAAAGTTATATGTTCATTATTGTGGTTTTTTATTTTGCATTTCTATAAACTTTCACGTAAAAATCTGCATATGGAATGAAGGAACTGGAAAAGAAGAGATCCCAAAATGTTGCCTGATATTTTTTCTTAGGGAATTTGAAATTGGTTTGGAGACTTTTTTTAACAGTTTGTTAGAATGGACTTTTTGGTCATTTGAAGGCTTTAAATTATGCATGTATCATTTCTGAGGACATATGTAAGAAACCGGTAGCAAGGATGGCCACAAGATCATGAGTACCTGAACAGCAGACAGAGGAAAGAAAGAGACCTATTTTTCACTGGGTACACTTTTGTGCCTTGAAATATCATGCCAGGTATCTGAGTTATCCATTCAGCAATAAAATAAAATCAATTAAAATGAATAAAACTTTTAAGTCCAAAGAAATAAGACAGAAAACATTTTACTGTGGCTATTTTCAATCTGTGTATTCTAATTCTCCATGACACTTTGTGATCTTTGTACTTGGTGTTCTTTGGTCTGGAATATTCTTCCCAAATACTGGCATGGCTGGTTTTAAAAACAGGAGAAAAACAGAAAAAAAAATCAAAATAATAATTAAAAAAAAAAAATATATATATATATATATATATCTCGACATGACTTGGTTCTTTATTTCCTTGAGGTCTTTGCTGAAATGCCACCCTGGTGAAACTTTTTCTAATTGCCCTATGTAAAATAGCAACCACTCCATTCCTCCTTGCCCTGCTTTATTTTTTGCTCTATCTCTTAACACCACCTGACATGTACTTATTTTTTTTATTATCTGTCTGTCCGGATTACACTGTAAGTTCCATGAGAGTAAAGATCTGATTTTGTTCATGGCTGTGTCCCTAGAACAGTGCCTAATATGGAGTAGGCCTCAAATACTTGAATAAGTGAATGGCCTACCTGTAATAACTGTTACCCACAAATGTGAATGTCCGTGCTTCTGAAATTAGGCTAGGTTACTATAAATAACCTGGAAGGTACACAAAAACCATAAGATAAACATGGTATAATTTCCTAGCTCTTTAATTTTTTTAAGTTGACAGTTGATATAAAGCTGCTTTTTTATGGTAGAACCAACATGGATGTAGTTTGAATGCAAAATTAGAATAAAATTCGTGCTCAGGCTATGTAGGGATTTTGTTTTATTCACTTCTGTCTACCAAGCACATAGTGTGTCTAGCATGCAGTAGGCATTTAGTATGTATCAAAATCCCAAAGGGATGTATATTCATTCACCTCTGCTCTTGGAAAAGTTTGGGAAACACTAGCCTAAAACATACTTTCATGATAGTTTTCTGGTATGGCTATTTTGTGGTAATTGTTATGTTACCTATTCATGTAATGAAAAGGAAGAAGAATAACATTTCTTTAGGCATAGTAAGTATTAAACAATTGTACAAATGAGAAACCTAGGCATAGAAGTAAATTGCCCAAGGTTCCAAAGTAGTATGTGGCATTTCTAATTGACTCTCGGAATTTGTGCCCTTAACTGTTATTTTGTTAGTTATCTGCTGCTGTGTAACAAATTATCCCAAACTTTAAAAAGTAAGCATTTTATTATTTCACAGTGTGTCTGTGGGTCAGGAATCTAGGAGTAGCTCTGCTGGGTGGTTCAGGCTCAAGACCTCTTATGAGATGGCAATAAAGGTGTCAGCCAGGTTTGCAGTCATCTGAAAGTTTCATGGAGTTGCTTCCAAGGTAGTTGTTTGACACAGATGGCAAATTCATGCTGCCTTTTGGCAGAAGTCCTTATTACCTCACCACATGGATTCCCCATAGATCTTACTGAGTATTCTCAAAACATGACAATGGCTTGCTCCAGAGCAAGTGATCAAAAAGAACAAGGAGGAAACTACAGTGTCTTTTAAGAACTAGCCTTTGGTCCAGGTGCCGTGGCTCATACCTGTAATCCCAGCACTTTGGGAGGCTGAGGTGGGCGGATCACTTGAGGTCAGGAGTTCAAGACCAGCTTGGCCAAAATGGCAAAACCCCATCTCTACTAAAAACGTAAAAATTAGCCGGGCATTGTGGCAGATGCCTGTAGTTCCAGTGACTTGGCAGCCTGAGGCAGGAGAATTGCTTGAACCCAGGAGGCAGAGGTTGCAGTGAGCCAAGATCATGCCACTACCCTCCAGCCTGGATGACAGAGTGAGACTCTGGGTCAAAAAAAAAATAACTAGACTTTTAAGTTACATGCTCTCATTTCCACGGTATCCTATTGGTTATACAGGTCAGCCCTATTCAGTATGGAATGTAACAACACAAGGGTATGAATACCCCAATTAGGCCATGCTATTAGTTTTTAATATGCATGCTAATTCTGTAGAAGAGATATTATCTTCATTTTATAGATGAAGTTTTGTAACTTGTTCAAGATCACACAGCTAAGTAAATGATAGAGTTGGAATTCATATTTATATCTGTCTCACTCAGAACCCTGTGCTTTTTCCTTTACACTCTGTCTGCTTTCTGCCAAATAACAAGTCCTTTAGGTACGGTTTTAAGAAAATAAACTTTAAAACACATTGACTTTAATAATGCTTTACATTTTCAGCAGGCCTGATGCCGATGCAGCAACAAGGATTTCCTATGGTCTCTGTCATGCAGCCTAATATGCAAGGCATTATGGGAATGAATTACAGCTCTCAGATTTCCCAAGGACCTATTGCTATGCAGGTACTTGCTTCTTTAGTTGGTTTTTTACAAAGTTATTGTTTGTTGTTACGTTTATATATCAAAAGCTACAGACTAAGAACTTAATGTTACAATTAGAAATAAATGTAAATAAATGTCTTCCTTCAAACTAAAATGAAGATGTGTTCATAAGAGTGAGGGAAAAGGCTGGGAGTGGTGGCTCACACCTGTAATCCCAGCACAGCACTTTGGGAAGCCAAGGCTGACATATCACTTGAGGTCAGAAGTTTGAGACCAGCCTGGCCAACATAACAAAATCCCATCTCTACTAAAACTACAAGAATTAGCTGGGTGTGGTGGCATGTGCCTGTAGTCCCAGACACTCGGGAGGCTGAGGCAGGAGAATCCCTCGAACCTGAGAGGTGGAGGTTGCAGTGAGCTGACATCACGGCACTGCACTCCAGCCTGGGTAACAAAGTGAGACTCCTTCTCAAAAAAAAAAAAGAAAGCTAGATTATAAAAGCATTTTTGCTTTTATACTATTAACATATCTTTAATGCCAATGCCATATACTGTATTTCATTTTTACCTAATGCTTTATTTTTTATTTATTTATTTTTGTTTTTTTTTTTTTCAACTTTTATTTTAGATTCAGGAAGCACATGTGTTGGTTTGTTACAGTTCTATGTTGTGTGATGCTGAGGGAACCCATCACCCGGGTAGGGAGTATAGTACCAAACAGCTAGTTTTTCAACCCTTCCCCCACTCTTTCTCCCCTCTTATAGGCTCCAGTGTCTGTCAAGCCTATTTTTATGTCCATGTGCACCCGATGTTTAGCTCCCACTTGTGAGAACATGCGGTATTTGGTTTTTTGTTTCTGCATTAGTTCACTTATTTACCTAATACTTTAACATTTTCTATTGCTGTGTGTTTTGTTATACAGTATATACTTGTGTACAGTAACACATGTATATAACTTAGAAATAAGTAATAGGAGTTCACAATCAGAATTTTAATTTGAAACCGTTGTTGTTTTGAAGTCAGTTATGCAAATAAAGCTTCTGTTTTGTGTTTAAAGGGTCAGGAAAACGTCCAGTGTCATTCTTTTATCCATCTCTAGAAGGAAGAAAATGGGAATACATTGATATTTCTTGAGCTTTTAATCCATGTTAAACTAGCTTTCACTAGGCTCTGCTGCAGAAACTGTCCCCAGATCTTAGTGACTTACAAAAGTTTATTCCTCACTTGTGATACATATTCAGAGTGCTGACTCTGCTCATGTTTTCTTTATCCTAGTACCTTCAGCCAGGACATCCTAGGTTCTTGGCATAGGAAAAAGAGATGACCAAACCCTGTGATGTCCTTTAAAGCTAACACTTGGAGGTTTACTAGTCACTTCTGCTCACAAAAGTAATATGGTCCTAACATCAGTAGAGGAGGAATGTAACAGGAAGAATGTAAACCACATAGGGACATGTAGTCCTCTTAGAATAAAGGCAGCAAATAACTAAAAACAATCTATCATAGAATGCAGTGTATTTTAAATTAAGACTTTCTAAGCTTACTACTGAATTTTAATAATTGATACAAATTTTAAATCATTAATTTTTACACTAAACATTATTTTATGACTTAGACAATTATCTGAAAAATGTTTTTAGAGTTTGAAACAACCAAAAACAATTTAAGAGTCTCTAACATGCAGAACAACAAGAAAAAAGTAAACTATGAGAGTTGTTAGTGCCTTAGTAATGTCCCTGAATGTCATAAGCGTGTATATTAATGAATCTAAGACAAAGCAACCAAAGTCTTTTTCTTTAACCTTTAATCTTGCTGATAGGCATTATACTGTTTGGAAGCTGCTCACTGTTCTTTAAGAAAAATAATCTAGATCTTATTTTTCCCCCCAAACTCAGTAGCTCTTACCAACCAGGGACATTTATGAAGCAAACCCATTATTCCTATAGTTATCTCTTAAGTCTTTGGAGATAAAAGTGATGATTCAGATAAAAAAGTCAACATAGAAATTTAGTCCTTTTTTTTATTTTTTATTTTTGAGACTGAGTCTTGCTCTGTTGCACAGGCTGGAGTGCAGTGGCATGATCTCAGCTAACTGCAGCCTCTACCTCCCAGGTTCAAGAAATTCTCCTGTCTCAGCTTCCTAAGCAGCTGGGATTACAGGCACGCACCACCACATCTGGCTAATTTCTGTATTTTTAATAGCGATGGGGTTTCACAGTGTTGACTAGGCTTGAACTCCTAACTTCAAGCGATCTGCCTGCTTTGGCCTCCCAGAGTGCTGATTACAGGCATGAGCCATTGCGCCAGCCAGAAATTTAGTCTTGATTATTATTATATTATTATCGATGATGATTATTATAACCACTCCCTTCCCCAAAACACATAAAAAGAAAACACTCCTCATGATTTACAATATATTTTTAAATTATTCTGAAGCATTTCAAACATCTAGGCAAGTATAGAGCACATGATTACATGTGTAAACCTGTTGCAATCTGTTGTGTAATTGTAAGAAATAATAGAAAACCTTTGCCCAGTTCCTCTATTGGTAAAAACTTGTAGAACTATAGTAACACAGCCAGCGTATGGACATTGGTACAGCTGAGACACAGAATATAGTCCATAGTGTGGATGTATGACAGTTTGTTTAACCGTTCTCTCACTGAAGGACATCAGGGTTGTTTACAGTTTTTGGCTATTACAACTAAAGGTTTTTGTGTGAACATAAGTCCCCATTTCTTAGGATAAATGCCCAAGAGTGCAATTGCTGGGTTGCATGGTATTGCATTTTTGGTCACCCAAACTTTTTTCCAGAGCAACTCTACTGTTTTACATTCCCACCAGCAATGTATCAGAGGTTCAGTTATTGCATTCTTACCTGCATTTAGTGTTGTTATTTTTTGTTTAGTCATTCTGATAAGTACGTTGTAATAGCTCATGGTTTTAATTTGCAGATGATGTTGAGCATCTTTTGATGTGTTTATTAACCATCATTACATTTTCTTCAGAGAAATGTCTTTTCATAGCTTTTAATTGAAGCAGTTTTTTAATTGCATTTTTTGGTATTTTACTATTGAATTTTGAGAATTCTTTGTATCTTTTAGGTAGTAGTCTTTTGTCAGGTATGCAGTTTACAGGTATTTTCTTGTCTGTAGCTTGTCTTTTCATCCTCTTAACAGGGTCTTTCACAGAGAAAAAGTTCAATTTTGATGAAATTCAGTTTACCAGTTTTTCATTTTATGGATCATGTGTTGGTGTAAGTCTAAGAGTTATTCACCTTGCCCTAGGTTCTGAAGATTTTCTCCTATTTTTTTTAAAGTTTTATACTTTTAAGTGCATGATCCATTTTGAGTTAATTTTTGTGTAAGATTTAAGACCTAGATTGAGGTTGTCTTTTACCTCTCTCTTTTTATCTATGCAGGTCTGATTGCCCAAGCAACATTTATCAAAAAGGCTATTCTGCTTCCATTGAAATGCTTTTACATTTTTGTCAAAAATCAGTTGGGCATGCTCATGGATCTTCCTTTAGGTTCTCTGTTCTGTTCCACTGATTTACGTATATGTCTGTTCCTTCACCAACAACACAGTCTTTGTGATGGTAGCTATACAATAAGGTTGATTCCTCCTACATTCTTCTTTTCAAAATTGTTTTAACTATTCTGGTTCCTCTGCCTTTCCATATGAATTTTGGGATAATGCTGTCTATCTCTGGAAAAACTCTTGCTGGAGTTTGATAGGCATTGTGTTAAACTTCTGTATGAATTTAGGGAGAATTGGTATCTTTGAGAAGTGACATCTTCCAACATAAGAACATGGGATATCTCTTCATTTGTTTAGGTCTTTGGTTCCTTCTATCTGCACTTACATAGTTTTCAGCATAAAATTCACATCCATGTTTGGTTAAATTTACATCCAAATATTTTGATTTTTTGAGCAATTATGAATGGCATTGTTTTTTAATGTCAGTGTTCACGTATTCATTGTTAGTATATAGAAATACAATTGACTGTATATGTTTGTATTCTTCAACCTTATTGAACTAATTCTAGAAATTTTTTTATGGATTCCATGGGATTTTTTATGTAGGTAGTCAGATCATACCTTTATCAAATTTTAACGTGCCACATTTGCTTTACATTTTTTTTAAAGAATTGAAAAATACTTTCCAGCTGGGTGCAGTGGCTCATGCCTGTCATTCTGACACATTGGGAGACCAAGGCAGGTGGATCACCTGAGGTCAGGAGTTTGAGACCAGCCTGACGAACATGGAGAAACCCCATCTCTACTAAAAATACAAAATTAGCTGATTGCGGTGGTGCATGCCTATAATCCTAGCTATTCGGGAGGCTGAGGCAGGAAAATTGCTTGAACCCAGGAGGCGGAGGTTGCAGTGAGCTGAGATTGTGCCATTGCACTCCAGCTTGGGCGACAAGAGTAAAACTCCATCTCAAAAAAAAAAACAAAAGGAAAGGAAAAGTACTTTCCTTCCTCTCCTTCCTCAGAAGTTGTTATCTCTATCATGAATTCAGTGTTTATAGTTCCCATATATATTTTTATACTTTGGTTTTTTTTTGTTTTATTTTGTTTTTTGAGATAGAGTTTCACTCTGTCGCCCAGGCTGGAGTGCAGTGATACGATCTCATCTCACCAACTCACTGCAACCTCCACCTCCTGGGTTCAAGTGATTCGTCTGCCTCAGCCTCTGTAGTTAGTTCCTGGAATTACAGGTGCCCACCACCTTGCCTGGCTAATTTTTGTATTTAAGTAGAGACGGGGTTTTACCATGTTGGCCAGGCTGATCTTGAACTTCTGACCTCAAGCAATGTACCCACCTCTGCCTCCCAAAGTGCAGGGATTACAGGCATGAGCCACCGTGCCTGGCCATATTTTTATTCTTTTATTATTTTATATATTTGTATATTCATGAGCAATATATAATAATTTCTAGGTTTTAAATTTTACGTATGTGTCCTTCAGCATCTTGACTTTTAAATTTAACATTGTTTTCCTCCAAGATTTATACCTGTTATAAAATTATGCCAAGTTTATTTATAGTAGCTGCTGTTTGGTATTTCATTAAGTGAATATGTGTTGTTCTGTTGACAGACATTTAAGTTGCTTCTAATGTTTTGCTGTTTTGATCTCATTGATTTCTGAGAGTTTATTATATATTCTGGACTCTAATCCTTTGTGGTTATATGTGTTTCCAGTATCTTCTCCTACTCTTTGACCTCTCTTTTAATTTTGTTTATAGTGTCAAGTTGTGTAGAAATTGAGTCAGATGGATAAATCATTCCTTTTTTTTTGTCTTTTCTAAGACATTCTTCCCTACCTGTATCTTCTTATTTTTAAAAATTTAAGTTTCTTTTTTGTTGTTGTTGTTGTGACAGTCTCACCCTGTCGCCCAGGCTGGAGTGTGGCACAATCTCGGCTCACTGCAACTGCAGCCTCCCAGGCTCAAGCAATTCTCCTGCCTTAGCCTCCAGAGTAGGTGGAATTACAGGCATCCACGCCTGGCTAATTTTTGTATTTTTAGTAGAAAATGGGGTTTTATCATGTTGGCCAGGCTGGTCTGGAACTTCTGGCCTCAAGTGATGTGCCTGCCTTGGCCAATGCGCCTGGCCCTTCTTTTCAAATTAAGTCTCTAACCTACTTAGAATTGTTCTTTAGTATCAGTGTGAGGCAGAAGGATGTAATTTTATTATGTTCCATTGTAGTCAGTTGTTCCCAAATCATTTATAAATAGACCATTTTTTACTTACTGATTTGTATGATTATTCCTGTAATATCAAATTTCTTTATATGCTTTGGATTAATTTGTGGGCTGATGTATGTGTCCCATTGCTGTATCTGTCTTTCCTTACATCAGTATATATCTTATACCTTAATTATCTAGCCTAAGCATTGATATCTGATAGTATGGATCATCCTTCTTTGTTTAAAGCATTATAGCTGATTCATGGTTCTTTGCCCTTTAGTATAATCTTATTTGTTTGAGACAGAGTTTTACTTTTGTTGCCCAGGCTGGAGTGCAGTGCAGCAATCTTGGCTCACTGCAACCTCCGCCTCCCGCGATTCTTCTGCCTCAGACTCCCAAGTAGCTGGGATTATGTGCACACCACCATTACCTGGCTAATTTTTATTGTTAAAATTTTATTGCTAGTAGAGACAGGTTTCGCCATGTTGGCCACGCTGGTCTTGAACTGACCTCAGGAGATCCACCTGCCTTGGCCTCCCAAAATGCTGGGGTTACAAGTGTGAGCCACTGTGCCTGGCCACCCTTCAGTATAATTTTAAGATCAACTTGTCAAAACCTGTTGGGGTTCTAAGTGAAATGGACACTTTTACACTTCTAGTCTTAACTATCATACTATATTTCTCAACTTATTTAAATCTTAAGTAGCCATCAGTTTATCAAATGTATCTCAGATTTCTGAGTTCTTTCTTTTGGTATGTCATCCACTCAGTATATAATTAAAGACTAGTATCTCTTAACCTTTTAGTTTACTTAGATTTCAAAAGTCTATAAAAACTTAGTGCCTCCTTTCTGGGTGTAGTGGGGAAACAAAATCCCATTTAGTAAATTTGAATGTTCCTCAAGAAAGGAGTTTGTAAGTAAGAAGGCAATATGCATAACACCTTCATTTCTTTAATTCTTTATTATTTTTGTAGAATACTTTGCCTTATTTTTAATCTCTGTTATTTGGGGAGTTTCTTTTGTATTTTATATACTTTGGGTAAACTAAAAAAAGAAATAAAAATTTAATTCTAGGACTGTGATACTAATTTTTAGCAGCAAGAGAACAATACTATGGATTTTAAATAAGTACACACAGCTATCTCCACCCAAGATTTAGAATAGAGAACGTTAGTAATAAAGCAGTATTGTTTGTAAACTCTAGCTGTAGAGTGATAGAAACTCTGCAGAAGCATTCCAAGCTGGCAGGGTGTGGTGGCTCAACGTCTGTAATCCCAGCACTTTGGGAGGCCAAGGTGGGCGGATCACTTAAGGTCAGGAGTTGGAGAACAGCCTGGTCAACCTGGTGAAACCCCATCTCTATTGAAAATACAAAAAATAGCCAGGCATGGTGACATATGTCTGTGGTCTCAGTTACCTGGGAGGCTGAGGTGGAAGGATCACTTCAGCAGCCTGGGAGGTGGAGGTTACAGTGAGCCAAGATTGCACCACTGCATTCCAACCTGGGTGACAGAGCAAGACCCTGTCTAAAAAAAAAAAAAGAAGAATTTAAAGTGAATCCTCAATGTTTTTCTCTCCAGCAAGATTCAAAGGTTTTTGTATAAGCATGGAGAGGTTGATTAGTAGATTCTAATCAGGGGTGAAGTTTCCCAGGAGATCATGTTAAGAAACTGACAAGTAAGGGAATTAAGGATCTTTACAAGGGCATTTAATAGTGAGCCTTAGAATCTAAGTTGAACAAGAAGGGAAGTGAGGACATAATGAAGATGATGGATCATGAGAAAAGTGGCAAAATTAGCAGGTGGAACCTACAAAATTAGCTCAGGGAAAAAAAAATTAACAAGTGGGAGATACTGAGATAGGAGAATGACTGGTCTAGATGAGCTAGAAGGATATGAGGTGGTCATCAAGTGTCAGGATGTTTAACATCCAGATTTTGGACATGAGGCAGTCTTTGGTGCTGATAGTTGAAGGGTATTACCACAGAATGGGAAGCTGGAATTGTATATTGGGCCTGATTGTGAATAGGAGGCTAAAGACATGGAAGACCACAGTGTTAGGTGAGTTAGCCATGTGGGTGATGATTGATGTTAGCAAGAGCAGTTTAGGGGTAGAATGGAAGATAGCAAAGTCTGAAGTGTTCAACTGAAGAGTAGGGAAGTTGACGGTCAGTAGATGACATGAACAAGGTCGGATAGTAAATGAAGTCTATGGGTGAGAAATTAAAATGTATTCAGGTTTTTTCAAGAAGGAATATTCCCCACTTACAGCAAATATAGAAGAGAAACAGCAATCTCCAAATGAGAGGGTTTCACAGACAGATTTTAGTTAGAGACAGAAGGGGAATTTTTTAGGGAGGTTGAGTAGTAGAAGAGTTTTCACTCACTAAAAATCAGCCACTTAATCATTATGATTGTCATCATTTTTAATATTAGATTTTGAGCCTGGTGTAATGGTGCACACTTATAGTCCCAGCTACTCTGGGGCTGAGGCAGGAGGATCTCTTGAGTCTAAAAGTTGGAGACTGCAGTAAGCTGTGATTACACCTGAGTGACACGATGAGACCCTGTCCCTAAAAAACATAATATTATTAAATTTTATGATTAGCTATTGTGTTATTCTTATTTCTGGACACTTTAACAAACTATAATATATCATTTTTTATTGAATAGTTTTCATTTTCTACAAAAGTTTGACTATTAGGCCTTTGGTAATGTTAAAATATTCGTTATCCTCTCATATATATTGGAAAATCAGATTTAATTTTATTTGTGGTATGTTTGCCATATGCCAGGCTCTTACCTATTGCTGTAAATATGAAAGTATGTAAGATATAATACCTCTTCTCAGAGAGGATCAGTGAGTTCACAAGAATATAACTTGTGAGCGTATGCTTCCATACACACACACCTATCAGACTTTTAGCAGTGGTCACCTCTGGGACAGTGAAGGGCTAGATAGTAAAGGAGCTTTCCAATTTTAGCATCTTTTAATACAATATATTTTTTACAAATAAAAGTATTAAGATAGAATTTATGGGAGTCACATTTTTGTATGATAATTTAAAGGAGAAATTGTGTTTTTTAAGCCTTTGTCTATTTCTTCTAGGCAGGAATACCAATGGGACCAATGCCAGCAGCAGGAATGCCTTACCTAGGACAAGCACCCTTCCTGGGCATGCGTCCTCCAGGCCCACAGTACACTCCAGACATGCAGAAGCAGTTTGCTGAAGAGCAGCAGTAAGACATCGCCAGAATTCAAGAATTGCAAAGATACATTATAGCATCTATCTTAAGAATTGTCTAATGCTCTCTAGTGCAGATTTGAAACTAAAACAGTCAAAAGTTGCCTTTAAAACTCTTAAGGCCTGGCCCAGTGGCTCATGCCTATAATCCCAGCACTTTGGGAGGCTGAGGCAGGCAGATTGCTTGAGCCCAGGAGTTTGAGACCAGCTTGGGAAACATGCTGAAACCCTGTCTCTACAAAAAATATAAAATATTAGCCAGGCATGGTGGCTCACGCCTGTAGTCCCAGCTACTCAGGTAGCTGAGGTGGGAGGATCACCTGAATCCTGAGGTTAAGACTGTGGTCATGCCACTCTGTACTCCGGCTAGGGCAACAGAGTGAGACCCTGTCTAAAAAAAAAACCCTCTTTAAAATGCCATTATTGTAAGTTTAGAGTCAAAAGGGACCTTAGAGATCCTCTAATTCAACCCTCCTGTTTTACATCTAGTGAAAACGAAGTCTGGGAAAATGAAGTAACTTGTCAGTCCAGGTTACACCGTTACCAGCAAAGCCTGGACCCACAGGGTAGCTCCCTGATTCCCAGATCGTTATTCTTTCTCCTGTATGACACTAGCTTCCCAAGCAGGTTCTTTTTTAATGTGCAAAGTGAAGTGTGTTCTTAGGTTTATTTGCCTCCCTGTTTTTTGAGAATACTTTTGTATGCGAAAGCTTATTTCCTCTTCTTGCAAATCAGATAAGAAATAAATTCATATACATAATTTAGGTAAATCATTCTTTCAACTCATGTCACATATTTTGGAATTAATATAGTGAGGAAACAGGATTGTCGCAATGAAATTTACACTTCTAGAAATGCAACATGATATTGCCAAAACTGTTAGATATCTGAATATAGGCCGGGCATGGTGGCTCACGCCTGTAATCCCAGTACTTTGGGAGGCCGAGGCAGGCAGATTGCCTGAGGTTAGGAGTTCAAGATCAGCCTGACTAACGTGGTAAAACCCTGTCTCTACTAAAAATACAAAATTAGCCAGGCATGATGGCACATGCCTGTAATTCCAGCTACTTGAGAGGCTGAGGCAGGAGAATTGCTTGAACCCTGGAGGTGGTGGTTGCAGTGAGCCACGATCACGCCATTGCACTCCAACCTGGGCAATAAGAGCGAAACTCCGTCTCAAAGAAAAAACAAAAACAAAAAAACAATATAAAACACAGTATATAATCCCAGGAGCTGGTTCTTTATTAGATCATTTTTCCTTCAGAAAACGATTTGAACAGCAACAAAAACTCTTAGAAGAAGAAAGAAAAAGGCGCCAGTTTGAAGAGCAGAAGCAAAAGCTCAGACTTTTGAGCAGTGTGAAACCCAAGGTAATGTTTGAATACTTCTAACCCAGAGCATACACACCCTGAATTTGCTTCTTCTCACTCATTCAATGGATTTCCTGACTGGGGCACCAGCCCAAGCTGAGGCTGTGATTGATTCTTTCCATTTTAGTTTAGCTAATTCCTAATGTGAAGGATTTTTCATTTTCTGTAAAGATACACTGTTGTCAATGAGAATAGGGTATCAGCCATTATCTTCTCAGCTCTTTTTTGGTATCATGGCAGTTTGTAATCTTTTTCTTGGGAAACAGTAATCCTGAATTCAGTGATATTTCATATTTCTCTTAGAGCCTTCACAGGACACTTAATATCAAACAGGCCTATCCTAAAGTATTTATAAATTGGCCCTTTGATGTTTTTATTTTCTGTGGAGTATCATTGTTTAATCATTTACCAATGTCTGACTTGGAGAATTCATTATCAGAAGTGTGTGGTAAAAATATTGGAAATAGATGAATATCTGTGCTTTTCCTAATTTGAGAGGGTTTAAGACACAGTAAGGGATAAGTAAAGAAATACACGTATATTGGTTGTCTCTTAGACAGGAGAGAAGAGTAGAGATGATGCTTTGGAAGCCATAAAAGGAAATTTAGATGGATTTTCCAGAGATGCAAAGATGCACCCTACTCCAGCATCGCACCCCAAAAAACCAGGTAGTTTTAAGAGGCATTACATTTTTCTTTTCTTGGAAGGTGGTTTATGTAGTCCCTGTTTGTTTACCTGGCCATTGTATGTGTGTGTGAAAAGTCAATGCAGAACTCTTCCTTCAAGCTGAGTACAGATTTGGATGTTCTCAAATGTACAATGGCTTAAGAGCTCTAATCTGGATAACAACTGTCTTGGGAGGAAAAAAACTTCTTTGTCTTCTAATTAAATGTCAGTATGACAATTTCACCTGTAAGTTTTCTGTATATAAATATGTAAACATTACTAAACCTATTTACTCAGAGCAAATGTAATAAAGGAGTTTACCATTTAATTCTCATTGTTTTATAGTAACTTTTATGAGCTAGTTCTGATTTCATTATTTAATGTGATGAAACTTAAAATTCTTAAAATACCTCATTTAAAAAAATCATAGGTATAATAATATTCCTCATGAAATTTTAGTTTCTCAATGCAGTTCTTCGTAGTTTTTAAATCAACATTTATTGTCAGGTAAGCAAAAAGAAATGTGCCTATTTAGAGTAGGGTAAAGGGATTTGGGTGAGGGGGTGGTGGTTCTTTTGAACACTTAGCAGTTGAAATGAGTCTTGCCTTTGCATGATTGTTACCACATTCTTTTTAAAAATTGGACATTTCAGGCTAGGCACCATGGCTCATGCCTGTAATCCCAGCACTTTGGGAGGCCGAGGCAGGTAGGATCACTTGAAGTCAGGAGTTCAAGACCAGCCTGGCCAACGTGGTGAAATCCTGTCTCTATTAAAAATACAAAAATTGGCCGGGCATGTGGCTCAAGCCTGTAATCCCAGCACTTTGGGAGGCCGAGGTGGGAGGATCACGAGGTCAAGAGACGAGACCATCCTGGTCAACATGGTGAAACCCCGTCTCTACTACAAATACAAAAAATTAGCTGGGCACGGTGGTGCATGCCTGTAATCACGGCTACTCAGGAGGCTGAGGCAGAAGAATTGCCTGAACCCAGGAGGCGGAGGTTGCGGTGAGCCGAGATCGCGCCATTGCACTCCAGCCTGGGTAACAAGAGTGAAACTCCTTCTCAAAAAAAAAAATATATATATATATAAAAATTATCTGGGCATAGTGGTGCAAGCCTGTAGTCCCAGCCACTCAGGAGACTGAGGCACGAGAATCACTTGAACCTGGGAGGCAGAGGTTGTAGTGAGCTGAGATCGTGCCACTGTACTCCAGCCTGAGTGACAGGGAGACCCAGTCTAAAAATAAATAATAATAGATGTGAAGGAGCAAAAATAAAATAGTATTATTAATGAGCTTCATATTAAATGTAGCTTCTGTAGAATAGGTTTATTATAATTAAATGTAAATAAAAAGCCACAGTGCCTTTTTTTTTTTTTTGAGACAAAGTCTCGCTGTGGCACCAGGCTGGAGTGCAGTGGCACAATCTCGGCTCACTGCAACCTCCATCTCCCAGGTTCAAGCAACTCTGCCTCAGCCATCTGAGTAGCTGGAACTACAGGCGCGTGCCACCACACCCAGCTAATTTTTGTGTGTTTTTAGTAGAGATGGGTTTTGACCATGTTTGCCAGGATGGTCTCAATTTCTTGACCTTGTGATTTGCCTGCCTCGGCCTCCCAAAGTGCTGGGATTACAGGTGTGAGCCACCATGCCTGGCTGACTTTTTTCTTTTCTTTTTTCAAGACGGAGTCTTGCTCCATCACCCAAGCTGGAGTGCAGTGGCATGATTTCAGCTCACTGCTGTCTCCACCTCCCAAGTTCAAGTGATTCTCCTGCCTCAGCCTTCCAAGTAGCTGGTACTATAGGTGTATGCCATCACACCCAGCTAATTTTTGTATTTTTAGTAGAGATGGGGTTTCACCGTGTTAGCCAGGATGGTCTCGATCTCCTGACCTTGTGATCCGCCCACCTTGGCCTTCCCAAAGTGCCAGGACTGCAGGCATGAGCCACTGTGCCCAGCTGACATTTATATCTTTTAGTGCCAAGATCTTTTAAAGGTAGTCTTCAGGGGGGATTTACTTTCTTAAATTGACTATGGTTGTTTGATTCAGCACTTCATGATATCCTAGTGTTGATACTTTTCACAAGAAAATATCATCTTAGTAATGTGTTTAATGTTTTTGTCTTGGCTGGGTGTGGTGGCTCATGCCTGTAATTCCAGCACTTTGGGAGGCCAAGGTGGGTGGATCACTGAGGTCAGGAGTTTGAGACCAGCCTGGCCAATATGGTGTATCTCTGTCTACCAAAAATACAAAAATTAACCAGGCATGGTGGTATGTGCCTGTAGTCCCACCTACTTCAGAGACTGAGCCAGAAGAATTTCTTGAACCTAGGAAACTAAGGAGAGGTTTCAGTGAGCCGATATCACGCCATTGCACTCCAGCCTGGGCATCACAGCAAATCTCTGTCTCAAAAAAAAAAAAAAAAGTTCTTGTCTTTTGTAATTTTTATTCCTCATATGGTAACTTTACTGAAATATGATCTATGCAAATGTGTGGATCAGACATGATATTTCAAAAATTACAAGTTTGTATTGTGCATTATTTCTTTCTGAATTTCTTAGTAAATAATAAAATTTAGTCATCATAGTATATGTTTGTCCAAAATTTATTTGCTACTGTATCAGTAGGTTTTCTTATATCTGATGTATATTGGTTTAAGATAATATCTAGATAAATAGATCATTTCGACTTCAAAAATAATCATCACTTTGATGTAAATCATTAATGGTCTCAGGGGAAAAATTACTGATCTAACGAAAGAAAGACAGTCAAGGCCAGGAGTTTGAGACCAGCCTGGGCAACATAGTGAGACACCATCTCTATGAGAAAAAAAAAGAAGGAAAGAATTAGCTGGGCATGGTGGCATGTGCTACTCAGGAGGCTGTGGCTGGAGGATTGCTTGAGCCAAGGAGGCTGTTATGATCATGAGCAATGAGCATGCCACAGCACTTCAGCCTAGGTGATAGAGCAAGAACCTGTCTCTAAAATAAATGAATAGATACATACATTTTTAGTTTTGCCTTTTTTGAACCAAATGCAAAATAGCTATTAAAACTCCCCTTTAAAAAGACATAAAACTGTGTATAAGTAGACATCAAAGTGTTTTACCTGCATCATATAATTCCATTTGACCATTGTTACTTGTTGTTTCTTGTTCACCTCCACTATTTATGTTTCAATATATTCTTTCGGAATTGTACTACATCTTAATTTCTTTTTCTCTGTTGGTTTCTATTTTTGTGTGTTTCATTGCCATTTTCCATTTTACAGATTGCCCCACATCTCATTCTACTAAAACTGTCTCCCTATCACCTGCCTTTCTTGATGAAGAAGAATTCAGTGACTTTATGCAGGGGCCTGTTGAAGTTCCCCCATGCGGGCCTTCTTCCATGTCCCAGCCCTTTCAGTCTTTCCACCCTTCCACCCCACTTGGCCAGTTGTGTACACAGAAGGCTGGGACACAGCCTCTCCCTCCAGGTCAGAGTCCAGTGCCTTTTACCTTACATGGTGTCCCTGGGCAAATTTCTTACTTCTCTACTGCTTCAACCTCACACACTATACCGAAAGCGGGTAACTCTTAGCATTATTAATGAAAATATTATTAAGATATCCTGGCATAACTTATATCTGTTATATAAGTAGAATAATCCAGTGATGTTGGCAAATGTGTACATGAATGTATGACTGCTGTTGAAATTCAACAAAATAAGAGTCTAGATTTTTAAGTTCTGGGGACTTTACATTCCAGAAAGGTGATTTAAAACTTTGGCTCCTCAACTAGGAGCAATTTAAACTGCGATATAACTTTAAAAGGAATCTGATTTTTCCCAAAGGTTGTTGTTTGGGAGATTCACCAATATCATTTTCTTAAGATTAAGAAGCTAGGAAAGGCTTCTTTTAAAAGTATTCTTTCTGGTTCAGTGACAGAGCACTTGGGTGCAAAAGCCCAGGTTGTTCATTTGCTAAAAATTTGTCCTTAGATTTTGTCATCTATAAAATGAATAGAGACAGCTACACATCCTGGCTTGAGACAGTGTTGGGAGGGATCTTGGCAGACATGTACTTAGTCCAGACTTTCTCATCTGATGGACATAGAAACAGATGATGATGGTGTTACTGGCCAGAGGCCTCCCTAGGAGTTAGTGAAACCATTAGCTTATGTAGATTGTCAGATTTCAAAGGTAGTAGTGCTCCTTCCAGTATACTCTTCCACTGTCTCAATAGAATTCTTCAGAATCACAGTAGGATAATTATATTTAAGTTCTCTGAAATCTCTAAAGTCTCTCAAGTCCTATACAGATGTGTGGTGATTGAATTATTTCAATGTTTACAATTATATGTGGCAGGGCCTTCCCTTTAGTATATAGGGATGAGGGGGGCACCATGGCTCACGTGTGTAATCCCAGCACTTTGGGAGGCTGAGGTGCGCAAATCACCTGAGGTCAGGAGTTACAGACCAGCCTTGCCAACATGATGAAACCCTGTCTCTACTAAAAATACAAAAATTAGCCGGGCGTGGTGACGGGCATCTATAATCCCAGCTACTCAGGAGCCTGAGGCAGGAAAATCGCTTGAACCTGGGAGGCAGAGGTTGCAGTGAGCCGAGATTGCAGTAGTACAAGCTACAGGTTTTTTTTGAGACTCTGTCTCAAAAAAAAAAAAAAAAAAAAAAAAGAATATGGGGGTGGAGACTGATGATTCAGAAGATTAGACATATACAGTTATATACAAATAATCCTTCATGCTGTTTGTTTAGGCCCTTTCTTGGAGGAGAAGCTCCTCGTATCTTGTGATATAAGTACATCTGGGCAGGAACAAATTAAATTAAATACCTCTGAAGTTGGCCACAAAGCCCTAGGCCCAGGTTCCAGTAAGAACCATCCCAGTTTAACGGCCAGTAACGGGGGTGCTGTAGATGGATGTGTAAGTGGCACCACTACTGCAGAGGCAGAAAAGACTTCAGATCAAAACCTGTCAATTGAAGAGAGTGGTGAGCTCGTGAAACATTTAGCAAAAAATTTGTTTAACCAAACGTTGCTCAAATGCTAACAACTTAAGCATTAATCTTCAAATGTATGCTGCTTGATTTTGCTAATCGAAATTTTGCTTGAAATATGTTTAATGCATTCCTTTCTCCAATTAACCCCTAAGATTTTGCTCTGAATTCTTTCAACACACTGTTACTCTTTTTAAAAAATGATTTTGATAACTGGTTTTCTTAATTGGAATCATTTCTGATTTAAAATTTTCTTTCTTTTTATTTTATAAAAGCTCTCTTTTCCTCTTATACTTTCTGTTCTTCCTTAAAGGTTGAAAAGTTAAAATATAACTGGAAAAGTCACCAATGAAAATATACTTTTACTTTCTCTAAAATGAATCATATGCACCACTGCCTAAAAGGTGTAAATTTTATAAATTCAGAAATAAATTAGAATGTAGGCAGCCTAGGAGGCCAACTTTTGGAGGATATTTTACTGGACAAAAGACCCCAAAAGTCCTGTATATTTAAGACAGCCATATCATATGTAGGTTTAAAAAAAAAAAAAAAAAAGAATGAAACTTTTACAAAGAAACATTAGTAAAAGCTGCAAGTAAAGCTTGGACAATTAAATCTTTTTAATTGATATTTATCTGATATAATTTTAAACTATCATCTGTCATGTTTTTTCCCTTAATTTGTAATACATGTTAAGCGGTGCAAGGCTGATATGATTTAGAATATTGATTTGATACATTTTAGTTTTTGTATAATTCACTCTTTAGAACATAGTGTACAATAGTTGCTTAGAAACTAAATTTTATTCTGAATCAGAGGGCAGGGAACCAAATATTTAATTGTATTGGTGACTTTTTGAGTAGTGCTGTTTATAAAAAACATGACTCAGTGTGATTTCCCCATCTTCTCCATGGACCACTATATACATAAATGTTTCTTATCTTCTAGGTGTGGGAGTATTTCCCTCACAGGATCCTGTTCAGCCCAGAATGCCTCCTTGGATTTACAATGAGAGCTTGGTTCCAGGTAAAAAAGCTTCTTTGCCTAGGATTCCCATCTGGATATTTTGCTTTAAATATTGTAAATGTAGTTGTAAGTATTTACTGTTGTAGTTACAAAATATGCGAAAGGAATTTTGTTTTTTTCTAAAAGCACAGAAATTAAATAAATGTCATGTTTCATAAGACTGCCTCATATATGGAATAACTATATAAATGAAGGAGAATAGTTTTGTTTTAATGTTTTATTAACCATCATATTTTTATTTTTAAAAGCTTTCTTAGATTTATCATGCTTTAATGGACATTATCAAATATTTCAGCTATTTACTTATCAAGAATTTTGCTAAAATATGTAATGTAATTTTCTGAATTCTTAGTTTGTATTTTTGAAAATATTCTTTCTATGACTTATTTGTAATACCATATGAAGTAAAAGACCATGTGGCATCTTTTTTTTCCACATTGGAAGATGTGCAAGATGATGTTTACTTTTTTTTTTTTTTTTGAGATTGAGTCTGACTCTGTCACCCAGGCTGGAGTGCAGTGGCATGATCTCAGCTCACTGCAGCCTCTGCCTCCCGAGTTCAAGCCATTCTCCTGCCTCAGCCTCGAGAGTAGCTGGGATTACAGGTGTGTGCCACCACGCCTGGCTAATTTTTTTGTATTTTAGTAGAGACAGGGTTTCACCATGTTGGCCAGGCTAGTCTTGAACTCCTGACCTCGTGATCTGCCCACCTCAGCTTCCCAAAGTGCTGGGATTATAGGTGTGAGCCACCATGCCTGGCTGCATTTTTTTTTTTTTTTTTTTTTTTTTAGACAAGATCTTACTCTGTTACCCAGGCTGGAGTGCAGTGGCACGATCTTGGCTCACTGCAGCCTTGACCTCTGCAGACTCAGGCAGTCCTCCCACCTCAGCCTCTCAAGTAGCTGGGACTACGGGCATGTGCCACTATGCCCAGCTAATTTTTGTATTTTTTGTAGAGACAGGGTCTTTCCATGTTGCTCACGCTGGTCTCAAACTCTCAGGCTCAAGTGATCTGCCTGCCTCAGTCTCCCAAAGTACTGGGATTACAGGTGTGAGCCACCTCACCTGGCTTTTTTCTTTTCATATATTTATACTGCTGAGCCAAAAAGAAAAGAAAAAAAAAATACTTGGTTGGGTACGGTGGCTCACACCTGTAGTCCTAGCTACTCAAGAGGCTGAGGCAGGACAATCTCTTGAACCCGGGATGTGGAGGTTGCAGTGAGCTGAGATCATGCCACTGCACTCCAGCCTGGGCGATAGAGTAAGACTCCATCTCAAAAGAAAAATATCCTGAAAATGCATTTTCTTTTTTAAAAAAGTTTTTAGTTTTTATGGATGTATAGTAAGTATATATTTAATGGAGTACATGAGATACTTGGATACAGACATACTATTTGTAATAATCACATTAGGGTAGATAGGGTATCCACTATCTCAAGCATGTATTACTTCTTTGTGTTATGAGCATTCCAGTTATACTCTTTAAGGTATTTTAAGTGTACAGTAAATTATTGTTGACTGTAGCTACCTTGTAGTGCTATCAAATACTAGCTCTCATTCCTTCTATCCAACTATATTTTTGTGCCTATTCCCCCATCCCCAGTACCCTTCTCAGCCTCTGGAAACCATCATTCTATTCTTTATCTCCATGAGTTCAGTTTTAATTTTTAGCTTCCATAAATGAATGAACATATGTGAAGTTGGAATTTCTATGCCTGGCTTATTTTCACTTAACATAATGTCCTCCAATTCCAACCATATTGTTGGAAATGACAGGATCTCAGTTTTTTTTTTTGTTATAATTATGGCTGAATTGTGCTCCGTCATATATATGTACCACATTTTCTTTATCCATTTATCTGTTGATGAACACTTACGTTGCTTCTGAATGTTGATTTACAGATTAGTACAGCCACTATGGAGAAACCTTTATACTGTTCTCCATGGTGGCTATACTAATTTACATTTCTACCGACAGTGTATGAGGGTTCCCTTTTCTCCACATCCTCACCAGCATTTGTTATTGCTTGTCTTTTGAATAAAAACCATCATAAGTGGGGTGAGATGATATCTCATTGTACTTTTGATTGACATTTCTTTGAGGATCAATGATGTTGAGCACCTTTTCATGAACCTGTTTGCCGTTTGCATGTCTTTTGAGAAATGCCTATTCAGTTCTCTTTTCCTTTTTTTTTTTTTTTTTTTTTTTTTTTGAGACAGAGTTTTTCACTCTTGTTACCCAGGCTGGAGTGCAATGGCGCGATCTCGGCTCACTGCAACCTCCGCCTCCTGGGTTCAGGCAATTCTCCTACCTCAGCCTCCTGAGTAGCTGGGATTACAGGCACGCGCCACCACGCCCAGCTAATTTTTTGTATTTTTAGTAGAGACGAGGTTTCACCATGTTGACCAGGATGGTCTCAATCTCTTGACCTCGTGATCCACCCACCTCGGCCTCCCAAAGTGCTGGAATTACAGGCTTCGGCCACCGCACCCGGCCCTCTTTTCCATTTTTTAATCAGATTATTAGTTTTTTTTTCTACTGAGTTGTTTGAGCTTCTTCTATATTCTGGTTATTAATCCCTTATCAGATGGTTAGTTTGCAGATATTCTTCTCCCACTCTGTGGGTTGTCTGTTCATTTTGTTTCCTTTGCAATGCGAAAGCTTTTAAACTTGATGTGATCCCATTTGTCCATTTTTGCTTTGGTTGCCTTTTCTTTTGGGTTACTACTCAAGTATTTGCCCAGACCAATGTTCTGGAGAGTCTTCCCCAGTTGTTTTTTTATAGTAGTTTCAGAGTTTCTGGTATTAGATTTAAGTCTTTAATTTATTTTGATTTGATTTTTGCATTTGGTGTGGGATGGGGTCAAGTTTCATTCTTCCACATATGGACCTCTGTTTTTCCCAGCACCATTTATTGAAGAGACCCTCCCCAATGTATGTTCTTGACACCTTTCTGAAAAATAAGTTCACCATAGACATGTGGATTTATTTCTGGGTTCTGTATTCTGTTCCATTGGCCTCTGTGTCTCTTTTTATGCCATTACTACGCTGTTTTGGTTACTATAGCTTTGTAGTATAATTTGAAGTCAGGTAATATACAGTAATGTACTATAATTCCTCCAGTTTTGTTCTTTTTGCTCAGGATGGCTTTGGCTATTCTGGGTCCATATAAATTTTAGGATTATTTTTTCTGTTTCTGTGAAAAACGTAATTGGTATTTGATAGGGATTGCATTTAATCTGTACTACGCATTGCTTTGGGTAGTATGGACATTTTAAAAACATTGATTCTTCCAAAACATGAACATGGAATATTTCTCTGTTTTTATGTCCCCTTCAATTTCTTGCATTAATGTTTTATAGTTTTCATTCAAATGCATTTTCTGACAGTACTCATAATGACAAAAGGCTGATTGTTACCAAAATCACACGTACAATTCAGTTGTACATAAAAATAATGGCTTTTCTTCCAACTGCCTGTTAGACAGTTTGCATCTTTTCTTCTTCTCTGTCCTCAAGCCAAACAAGCGAAATCTAGATCTTGGTATATGTTAGAGTTTTATCCATTTTCTGCCAGTTTGTATTAACTTTCTCCCCTCCTCCTTTCAAAATACATGCACCCATACTTTCTAGTCAAAATATGTGTTCTTTTTTTCTTTTGAGATGGAGTCTCACTCCGTCACTCAGGCTGGAGTGCAGTGGTTTGATCTTGGCTCTCTGCAACCTCCGCCTCCCAGGTTCAAGCAATTCTCTTGCCTCAGTTTCCCAAGTAGCTGGGATTATAGGCGTGTGCCACGATGCCCAGCTAATTTTTTTGTATTTTTAGCCACCATATTGACTAGGCTGGTTTTGAACTCCTGACCTTGTGATCTGCCCGCCTTGGCCTCCCAAAGTGCTGGCATTACAGGCATGAGCCACTGTGCCAAACCAAAATATGTGTTCTTATAGAGAGCCCACTAACCTGTACTCCATACTCATAATCACAGATGTAAACTTTTTGTTTTAAATATTTTTCTCTGCCTCCCTTAGCCCTACTTACTTTTGTTTTCTAACTAAGCTTGCTAGATTTAATAAGTAACCATACAGAATGCCCAGTTAAATTTGCATTTCAGGTCAATAGCAAGTAATTTTTTAGTATAAGTGTGTCCCATGCAATATTGGCATTATTTTTGCCCTATCTCTAACAACATTTCCCACTTGGTCCTTTGGAAAATTCATGTTATTGTCAAAAACTCACCAACTGTACCCCCCTTTTTAAGACATTTGTTCTGCTTCCTCACCCTGACCGAAACCAGGTCTTTCCTTGAAGGCTGTATTTCAGTGGTTTCTCAGTAATTTCTTTAGTGGTTTCTCTCAGAACCTCTAATTTACTGGAAAGAGTGATGTCGGTATAATTCTTACTTCCTTTTGCTCTTTTCAAACTGTTCCCACCATCATTACTCTACAGCTTCTCTTGTAAAATCTAAAGCATGCTGTCTCGTTACAGTCCTGTAAATTGTAAGATATTGTCTTACCTCTAGCCTTAAACCTTATCTTTAGTACCAAGCTCCAGACTCTTCTAGGCTCCAGACTCTAGTTGTCTGCTGGACATTTCCACTTGAATATCTCAAATATATATATATATTTTTTTTTTTTTGTAATGGAGTCTCACTCTCTTGTCCAGTCTGGAGTGCAGAGTGCAGAGGCACGATCTTGGCTCACTGCAACCTTCATCTCAGGGTTCAAGCAATTATCCTGCCTCAGCTTCCCAAGTAGCTGGGACTACAGGCACATGCCACCATGCCCGGCTAATTTTTGTACTTTTAGTGGAGATGGGATTTCACCACGTTGGCTGGGCTAGTCTCAAACTCCTGACCTCAGATGATCCGCTGGCCTCAGCCTCCCAAACTGCTGAGATTGCAGGCATAAGCCACATGCCCAGCTGCACTTGAATATATTTAAAGCAGTTTAGACTCTGACATGGCTTCAGTTCTATTAAAGCATTTTGAAAATTATTCTTGTATACCAACAATGGCACCCCGAAAACTGAATCACTTGTAATGTGTTTCCATTTGTAATCTGGTCTTCCTTTTAATAGATGCCTATAAGAAAATCTTAGAAACCACAATGACTCCAACTGGAATAGATACTGCAAAACTGTATCCCATTCTGATGTCATCTGGACTTCCCAGGGAAACTCTTGGACAGATATGGGCCTTAGCTAATCGAACTACACCTGGCAAACTTACAAAAGAAGAACTTTATACCGTTCTTGCCATGATAGCAGTAACACAGGTAAACTGTGTTTCTTAAGTTAGATCAAATAACTTTATTAATATAAATCGAAACTATATGAAATCTTTTTTACTACGTTGTATAACTCCTTGTACATTAAAATTTGATCATTTTCAGTTTATAGTACTTGAAAAATGTACAGTTTATATGATGTACATAATAGTGAATATTTCTTTGTTTAAAGACTTTGGTTTTGTTTTGTTTTTGAGACTGAGTCTCACTCTATGGCCCAGGCTGGAGTACAGTGCCTGCTACTATGCCTGGTTAATTTTTTTATTTTTAAGTAGAGTCGGGGTTTCACCATGTTGGTCAGGCTGATCTTGAACTCCTGACCTCAAGTGATCCACCCATGTCAGCCTCCCAAAGTGCTGGGATTACAGGTGTGAGCCACAGTGCCCAGCCTAAAGACTTTTATATATATTAACATTTTCTGAACTTGAAAGTTAGTAATAGCTAAAATTACTCTGTCTCTTGAAGTCCTTGTCTAAAATTTCGTACGTATAGATAAAGCATTCTCAGTCCGGTAGCAGTTTTTCTTTTATTGCAAAGTCATTTTAAGTGGTTTGATCATATAGAATTAACCAAACTTCTTAGAAAGAGAAAGTGTCAGAACTGATATATGTTGGCCATTTCTTTGTTAAGTGTTAGGTTTGTATTGACCTGGTACCTTTTTTCTTATATCAAATTCATGAGTTTTGAGAGAATGAGTGGAAACACACAAAGGCTGCAGATTTTTGCCTTTCTGTCTCTTTGCCAGATTTTGATCATGTGTGGTTTACAATCCCCTAATCCATTTTCCTTCTGTCATTTGTAGAGGGGCGTTCCTGCAATGAGTCCTGATGCTTTAAACCAGTTCCCAGCAGCTCCTATTCCAACTTTAAGTGGTTTTTCTCTGACTCTGCCTACGCCAGTGAGTCAGACAACTGTGATACCGTCAGGCCCTGCGGGCTCCATGCCCCTCAGCCTTGGACAGCCAGTCATGGGCATTAACCTTGTTGGACCAGTGGGTGGAGCTGCAGCCCAGGCTTCTGGTGGTTTCCTGCCAACTTACCCTGCAAATCAGGTAAATGGAGAAGCTGTGCATATTTCAAATAATCCCTCAAGGTGAATCTGGGCACCTTTTTTTCCCAGGAATACATAGAGTAGGTTGTTGGATTATGGTAAGCACATTTAAATTCTTAGGTTCTATCTTTCAGGAAAACTGCTAAACCTGAAATTAAAATACTTCAGTTTTTCACTTCCCAGATTAGCAAAAATGTTTTAAGTATATAATATTTAGTGTTATTGAAAATTGCTGGGCGTAGTGGCTCAGGCCTGTAATCCTAGCACTTTGGGAGGCTGGGGCAGGCAGATCACCTGAGGTCAGGAGGTTGAGACCAGCCTGACCAACATGGAGGAACCCAATCTCTAATGAAAATAGAACATTAGTCGGGCATGGTGGCACATGCCTGTAATCCCAGCAACTCGGGAGGCTGAGGCAGGAGAATCACTTAAACCTGGGAGGCGGAGGTTGCAGTGGGCTGAGATCGCACCATTGCACTCCAGCCTGGGCAATAAGAGCGAAACTCCGTCTCAAAAAAGAAAGACCTGGATTTGGTCTTCAGGTGCCACTCACTATCTACAAGTCTTTAGACGAGTTACTTAACCATGTTGTGTCCCATTGGCTCATTTTGGGCTGGGTGTGGTGGCTTAGGCCTATAATCCCAGCACTTTGGGAGGCTGAAGCCAGTGGATCACAAGGTCAGAAGTTGAATATCAGCCTGGCCAACATGGTAAAACCCTGTCTCTACTGAAAATACAAAAATTAGCCGGGTATGGTGGCACGTGCCTATAGTCCTAGGTATTTGGGAGGCTGAGGCAGGAGAATCGCTTGAACCTGGGAGGCAGAGACTCGGTTTCAAAAAGTAAAGAAGAAAGTGCAGGGTAAACGTAACTAATACACTCTAGGCTTATTGTTACAGCCTTCTTGAAAGGCAGACTTGGCAATAACTATCAAAATTCTACATGTCCAGCTGGGTGTGGTGGTGTATAGCTGTAGGCCCAGCTACTCTGGAGGCTGAGGCAGGAGGATCGTATGAGCCCAGGAGTTTAAGTCTGCGGCGAGCTATGATTATGCTCACACCATTACACTCCAGCTTGGCAACAGAAGGAGGCCCTGTTTAAAACAAAACAAAACAAATACCTCAGCATGTATATATCTTCTGTCCCAGCAGTCACATTATTAGAAATCTGTCCCAAGAAATAGTAACTCAAATTAGCAAAGATATGCAAGAATTTGTTTTGTAACATTGTTAGAGTAAAAATTTAAAAACAAAAAAACAGGAGAAAGGTTAAATAAATTTTAGTTCATCCACACAGTGGTAAACTAATCATTAAACTGAATGAGATAGATCTACATGTACTGCATGGAGATGTCTTTCTTATAAAGTATAGAGCAATATCGTGTAAGCTCATTTTTCTTTAAAACAGATAAGCTGTTAACAGTACTTCTGGAGTGTGGGATTAGGAGTCATTGTTCACTTTTTATACATGTATGTGATTGGTTATGATGAGCTTGTGTCACTTAATTTGCAAACATGCATGATATGTCTATATGACTTTTTTTTTTGAGACGGAGTCTCGCTCTTGTTACCCAGGCTGGAGTGCAATGGCGCGATCTCGGCTCACTGCAACCTCCGCCTCCTGGGTTCAGGCAATTCTCTTGCCTCAGCCTCCTGAGTAGGCTGGGATTACAGGCACACGCCACCATGCCCAGCTAATTTTTTGTATTTTTAGTAGAGACGGGGTTTCACCATGTTGACCAGGATGGTCTTGATCTCTTGACCTCGTGATCCACCAGCCTCGGCCTCCTAAAGTGCTGGGATTACAGGCGTGAGTCACCGCGCCCGGCCGACTTTTTTTTTTTTACCTTTTCTATTTATTTATTTGAGACAAGTCTTGCTGTGTTGCCCAGGCTGGAGTGCAGTGGCATGATCTTGGTTCACTGCCACCTCCGCCTCCCAGGTTCAAGCCATTCTCCTGCCTCAGCCTGCCAACTAGCTGGGATTACAGGTGCCCGCCACCACATCCAGCTATAGATAGGTCTTTTGAAGATGATAGGCGCTCAGTAACCCAATGAAATTAAGCTATTTTAAAAATGTATAAATAATCTTTTTTTTTAACAGTTGATAATCTATACATTTTAAAAATGTATGGATTATCTTTTTTTTTTTTTTTTTTTTTTTTTTTTTTAAAAGGCTGGAGTACAGTGATGTGATCTTGGTTCACTGCAACCTCCGCCTCCTGGGTTCAAGGGATTCTCCTGCCTCAGCCACCCATGTAGCTGAGTCTACAGGCTCATGCCACCATGTCCAGCTAATTTTTATATTTTTAGTAGAGACAGGGTTTTGCCATGTTGGCCAGACAGGCTGGTCTCAAACTTCTGACCTCAGGAGATCTGCTGGCCTCCACCTCCCAAAGTGCTAGGATCGCAGGTGTGAACCACTGGGCCTGGCCTAGATTAACTATTTAAACCAGTCTTTTACCATTTGTACCAGAGAGTATCTAAAATTACAAAACAGGATTCCTGCCTTGAGCACTTGAGTTAATATACCTAAACTCAGAAATTTTAAAGGCAGTGTTTGAGATTGACTCTTGGAGATTTGTTGTGTATTTATTTTACCAGTCAGTGCTATTTATTTAAATGTCCTTTATAAATCTAGGTAGTAAAGCCAGAAGAAGATGACTTCCAGGATTTTCAAGATGCTTCTAAGTCAGGATCCCTTGATGACTCATTCAGTGATTTCCAAGAGTTGCCTGCTTCTTCAAAAACCAGTAACTCCCAGCATGGAAATAGGTAGAAAAGAGTTTAATATATTTAATACTGTATTTAATCGTTAAGAAAGAGGCATCCATAATAAGAAGACTGGGCGTGAGGAATTAAAAAAATTAAATTATACTCTGCAAACTTCTCTCCCCTTTGTCCACCTCAAACTTCAGCTCCTACTGTTTCCTCCCGGTACACACCTACCTGCCAATACTCTTTTTTACCTGTGCCAAACCTGTATTATAGCTAAGAGCACCTGTGCAGTGATGACTTCATGTTCCTGTATTAAAAGGCAGGTCTTCAACTGTTGAAAAGTTTCTTAGGCAGGAGCACATAATTTTACATTTTTGTAATGTAAGGTACTGTTGCTTTTCCACAGAACTATAATTCAAAATTCTAAATAATCATATTTATTCACATTTCTTGTATATTTGACATCAGTGTCTTTTAAGCCTTCAGATTTCTGTTGTTTTCATAGACAGCTGCATAAACATTTGTCTAAGGTTTTAAATGCCACCTTAATCTTCACCTCCTGAGCATAATGGCGCATCCCTGTATTCCCAGCTGTCCCAGCTACTTGGGATGCTGAGGCAGGAGAATCTCTTGAACCCAGGAGGTTGAAACTGCAGTGTGCTCTGATTATGCCTCGGCACTCCAGCCTGGCGACAGAGGAAGATGCTGTCTCAAAAAAATAAATAAATAAAAATTCACAAAAGTTAATGTATAGGAGTTTGGAGTTGGTTAGTTTATTTTGCTGAGATCAAAATATTTCTTTTGAAACATATATACTTAGCAGGGTAAGCAACTAAATAAAACTATCTACCACAGTCATATGGAGTGATTGTAAAACACTAATAGATTCACTAGAGAAAATGCAAAATTCTTTTTTTGGTCAATTTTTTTTAAGTCTTACTTTTCAGTAGAATACAGGTTCCTAAATGTAAAATCAATATGCCTTTCTCACTTGAGTATTTTCATTGTAGGAAAGGGTAGAAATAACTGTTTTCGTGTTTGGAACAGATGATAACTGTATGTAACTGGCATAAACACTTTCACAGTGACTACAGTGGTTTTTTTAAAATAAGAACTGGAATGAAACATTCTTTTGCAGTGTGCATAAAATTACATTCTGAGTCATAACTTACTGTGAATGGAATTTTGTTGACTTTAATCAGCAAGAAGTAGTTCATTACCCTAAAGATCTTTTTTTTTTTTTTCAATTCTGTGAATATAATTTTAAAATTAATAAGTAGCCGGGCGTGGTGGCTCAAGCCTGTAATCCCAGCACTTTGGGAGACCGAGGCGGGTCGATCACGAGGTCAAGAGATCGAGACCATCCTGGTCAACATGGTGAAACCCCGTCTCTAGCAAAAATACAAAAAATTAGCTGGGCGTGGTGGCGCGTGCCTGTAACCCCAGCTACTCAGGAGGCTGAGGCAGGAGAATTGCCTGAAGCCAGGAGGCGGAGGTTGCGGTGAGCCGAGGTCGCGCCATTGCACTCCAGCCTGGGTAACAAGAGCGAAACTCCGTCTCAAAAAAAAAAAAAAAATCTTTCTATTAAATGTGACACTTACTTATTAATTTTTTTTTTTCGTTCCTGTTACCCAGGCTGGAGTGCAATGGCGCGACCTCGGCTCACCACAGCCTCTGCCTCCTGGCTTCAGGCAATTCTCCTGCCTCAGCCTCCTGAGTAGCTGGGGTTATAGGCACGCGCCACCACGCCCAGCTAATTTTTTGTATTTTTGCTAGAGACGGGGTTTCACCCTGTTGACCAGGATGGTCTCGATCTCTTGACCTCGTGATCGACCCGCCTCGGCCTCCCAAAGTGCTGGGATTACAGGCTTGAGCCACCACGCCCGGCCCTAATAGAAAGATTTTTACCCATGAGCTATAAATGGCCATCACTAAAGTTGGAGGGCCCATGAAAAATAAATCATTCAACTCTTTGGGGTTTTTTCTCCTAAAATGTTAATTGCCTTTATGCCCATGTAATATTCTGTATGGTGAACTGTACTTTAATTACTTATGGAACTTTTAAAAAGTCAACTTACAGTGTATAGATGATGATTTATTTCATTTGTCAAGATCAGTTATATAGCAGCTGTTTGGTGGTGATGTGAAATCATACTATTTGATAGCATTAAGTCCTAAAGGACTGTCTACCCCATTAACATGCAGCTGCCAGAGCCTAGTTTTTACCTTACTTGTAAGCCACTGATAAGAAGATTTAAATGTCTGTGGAAAGATTTTTTGCTCTAGGGCAAAGAACTCAATAGAAATCCATTTATATAACTTGTACATGGTATTGAATGACAAGAACTAGTGGTGGAATGTAGTCATTCATATGTAAAGGTAGTTCTTCCAGGGAGCTGCCTGCGTCTGATAAGGGAAGAAGAAAAATAAAAAAGTAATGCTTTTATAGTATGTGTTTAAGCCTTCTAAGAATTACCCATACAGATACTACTCATTACGCTATTTTTCCATCCAGCAAGAAATATGTCCACAGGCAAAAGTATCTTTATCTAATTTTGAAGTGATTGTTGTTTTGTTACAAAGATAGCTTCTGGAACCACTGATGTGATCCTTGTAAAAATGCAAATTGTATTAACTCTGCTGCAGCTTATCAGATGTATGCACTTCTGCCAGTAGGCAATGCAGTACGATCAAAAGAAGAACAATTTACATTTTGGTTTGAACAACATTTCATAAATAGATTTTTATCTTAAATATTCTACCTCTGCACTCTGAACCCATTGAAGATAATTTATATTAAGGTTAACATGATTTATTTTAAAATATTGAGTATATATATGTGGATCAGTTCACTTTTAGTTTTATGTTCGTAAAGTTAAAATTGCAGGAAGTCATCCTTTAATAATCTACTTCCAATGCCATTCCAATTGTTATTATGGCTTAAAGAGATGCTTAGACAGTCAACATGTTTCTGGCCCCTCTTCATTTAATCAGGAAAAAAATAATTGTTTGGGTATTGTTTTTTGTCTTTTTTAAAAAAAAAAAACAGACATTGTTTTTAGTTTTGCGGTATATATGTATACTATTTAGTTTCTCACTTTTAAAGCAGGAGCCATGAGTTTTAATGAAATACCTGTTTGCTATTTTAATTCTAACTTCCTTTTTGATGATAAGGGAAGAATTCAGGGTCATCAAAAGTTTCTTTTTCACTTTAGTGCCCCTTCTTTGTTGATGCCACTTTCTGGAACTAAAGCATTGCCTTCAATGGACAAATATGCTGTATTTAAAGGAATTGCCGCTGATAAGTCTTCTGAAAATACTGTTCCACCTGGAGGTAAAAACAGTTGGTAAATTCATAAACTTGTGAATGCTAAATTGCAAAATATTTAAATTGTATGAATCTTTAAGTGGTGGTCTTCTGTGCTAAATGTGTAAAATGCTTATACCACATGTTAAGAGTGTTTGGTTAAACCAATCTGCCTCACTTCCTGGATCTGTGATTTCAAGATTCCTAACCTTAATTGAGCTCCGTCCTTTCTATCATAGATCCTGGTGATAAATATAGTGCTTTCAGAGAACTCGAACAGACGGCAGAGAATAAACCTTTAGGTAAGTTTTTGAGTCCCTAAAAGGATAAATTATTTCCATTTTTAATTTAAAAAAGGATTTTTGATGGTTTTTTCAATGGCATTCCTTTGTGTTAGTGTGCGTGTGTTCAGGAGAAAAAAACCGAGTGGATGAAACAATATGGTATAGGAGTGATTTTTATAATAGATAACTCAAACTGTAAGTATTCTAATTCAAAAAAACTTAATAATAGCTACCATGTTTAGGCCTGGTGTGGTGGCTCATGTAATCCCAACACTCTGGGAGGCCAATGTAGGCAGATCACCTGAGGTCAGGAATTTGAGACCAGCTTGGCCACATGGTGAAACCCCATCTCTCCTGAAAATGCAAAAAAGTTAGCTGGGTGTGGTGGCGCATGCTGTGGTCCCAGTTACTCAGGAGGCTAAGGCACAAGAATTGCTTGCACTCGGGGAGGCAGAGGTTGCAGTGAGCCAAGATCATGCCAATCATGCCACTGCACTCCAGCCTGGCAACAGAGCGAGACTCGACGTCAAAAAAAAAAAAAAAAAAAATCATGATAGGCACTAAATGAGGGATTATCTAGTAGAAGAGGAATAAGATTACTTCTTATGGTTCTGGAAATTACAAGGAGGGAAATGTGCTTCAGTTATTGGGAATTATTTATTTTGTAAAATGTAGGGCATGCCAGGCACAGTGGCTCACACCTGTAATTCCAGCACTTTGGGAGGCCAAAGTGGGAGGATGACTTGAACCCAGGAGTTTGAGACCAGCCTGGGTGACATAGTGAGATCCTGTCTCTACAAAAAGAGTAAAAAATTAAAAAAAAAAAAACAATACAGTTAGTCAGATGTGGTGGTGCTCAGCTGTGGTCCTAGCTACTTGAGAGGCTGAGGTAGGAGAATTGCTTGAGCCTGGGAGGTCAAGGCTGCCATGAGCCATGATTGTGCCACTGTACTCCAGCCTGGGCAGCAAGCAAGACACAGTCTCAATCAATCAATTAAAATAAAATAATTGAGGGTTGAAACGAAGGAGAAAATACTAAGGGCAGCCAGAGAGAAAGGTCACATTACCCACAAAGGGAAGCCTATCAGACTTACAGCAGATCTCTCAGCAGAAACTCTACAAGCCAGAAAGAGTGGGGGCCAATATTCAACATCCTCAAAGAACAGAACCTTCAGCCCAGAATTTCATATCCAGCCAAACTAAGCTTCACAACTGAAGGAAAAATAAAATCTTTTATGAACAAGCAAGAACTCAGAGATTTTATTACCACCAGGCCTGCTTTACAAGAGCTTCTGAAAGAAGCATTACACATAGAAAGAAACAACCAGTATTAGCCTTTCTAAAAATATACCAGAAAGTAAAGAGCATCAACATAAAGAAGAATTTACATCAACGAATGGATAAAACATCCAGTTAACATCAAATGGCAGTAAACCTAAATTTAAATCGACTAAATCTCCCAATCAAAAGATACAGCCAAAACTCAACTGTATGCTACATCCAGACCCATTTCACATGTAAGGACACAAAGACTCAAAACAAAGGGATGGAGAAAGATTTACCAACCAAATGGAGAGCAAAAATAAATAAATAAAAAGCAGGAGTTGCAATTCTCGCATCTGATAAAATAGATTTTAAAGCAACAAAGATATAGTGGTAAAAGGATCAATGCAACAATAAGAGCTAACGATCCTAACACCCAGATACATAGAGACTTAGATTCAATGAGACAGAAAATTAATAAGGATATCCAGGACTCGAACTCAGATCCGGAACAAGTAAACTTAATAAATATTTATAGAGCTCTCCACTTCAAATACACAAAATATACATTCTTGTCAATACCACATCACATCTACTCAGGTTTAAATGAAATATTGATTGGCCATTATTAATACCCATTTTTTAGAATAAAGCAACATTTCCGTTCTCTCTCCCTCTTTTTCTTCCTTTCTTCCTCTCCTTCACTCCTTTTTTTTTTTTCTTTCCTTCTCAAAAAAAAAAGAAAAAGAAAAAAAAAAGAATTAAATAAAACAAAATTTAGGACAAATTCCAAATCAATGTAGTTTCTTCTGAAGATAGAACATTCCCTTTCACGGGAAGCTTGCAAGACAGGTTAAATTCCCTTGTCAAATGAGAGCTGTGGTTGCTCTGATTTATTATACTGTTCAACGAGGCTTGAAGTGTTAGCAGTACAGCAATCTATGGACTGTAAAGGCAACAACTAGTCTTTTTTTAAAAAACAGTTTTATTCTCGTCACCCAGGCTGGAGTACAATGGCATGATCTTGGCTCACTGCAACCTCCACCTCTTGGGTTCAAGCAATTCTCCTGTTCCAGCCTCCTGAGTAGCTGGGATTACAGACACCTGCCACTATACCTGGCTAATTTTTTTATTTTTAGTAGAGATGAGGTTCCACCATGTTGGCCAGGCTGGTCTCGAACTCCTGACCTGAAGTGGTCTGCCCGCCTCACTTCCCAAAGTGCTGGGATTACAGTCATGAGCCATTATCACACTTGACCAGTCTTTCACTTTTCAAGACTTTTTTTTCTATTATTGTTGCAGTACCTGGTACCATTATTATTTGTTATTTTTTAGCTTTTTACTCATGATCTGGAAAGAAAACATTCCAGAATCGCATTATTAAAAGCAACTTGAGGCCAGACGCGGTGGCTCATGCCTGTAATACCAGCACTTTGGGAGGCCGAGGCGGGCAGATCACAAGGTCAGGAGTTTGAGACCAGCCTGCTAACATGGTGAAACCCTGTCTCTACTAAAAGTACAAAAATTAGCTGGGCACGGTGACACATGCCTATAATCCCAGCTACTTGGGAGGCTGAGGCAGGAGAACTGCTTGAACCTGGGAGGTGGAGGTTGCAGTGAGCCAAGATCACACCACTGCACTCCAGCCTAAGCAACAGAATGAGACTCTATCTCAAGAAAAAAAAAACTTGATTAAGGCATAGTTACTACTACATATCATAAAGCAGGTATAAGGTATTTTACATTCACAGAGGTATAATACAGTACTGTCTTACATCTATAATACTAGAGGGTACAGTTAAAAAGACATTATATAAGGTTTGATTCTACTTTTCCAGCAGAGAGCCCAAAGGATGGTATGACACAGCTCTTGTACAGAAATGCACTTTCTTAGCTAGGATTTTCTTCCACTAGTAACATGCTTGTAGATACTCACTTTGCTTCATGAACATCAGCTAAAAGTAATTTAAAAAGCAACAACCAGATGAAACATTGGATTCATACAGAGACGACCAAGTGGGGGCAAGCAGGACTCAACCAAACTCGTACTTTACCAAATCCTTCATGTTTCAGTGGTGAGAGCTCTATGAAAGAAGGGAATGGCAAGTAGCATTTCAAAGCCTGGGCCACAACCAAAACACTGGATCATTTCAATCAGAAGCAGTAACCAAACAGTGCTCACTTAGTGTGTTCAGGAATGCCGACGTCAATATTCAGTTATCTGCTCACTCATCCAGGAAGAATGGGTGATCAGTTACTATACTTTGCTTGTGTTAAACTAAATTACCGCTTTATAAGATTTTCAAGATTGGCTGTAACTCGATGAGAAAGATGAAGAGAGAGGGGTTTATATGCATGTGTGGTTACCATCTCTGATAGTAAGACTTAGAGTACATGGGAATATAAAATGATAATTTGAGAGCTATATATGTAAAAACTTTGTTTGCGGTTAAATCCCACTATAAACATGATGTCTAGGGTTTAGATAACCCATAGGTCAGTTTATCTTCTCCAAAGCTTAACTATGCATGCTATGAAACTCTAATGAGAATTTCCTTCTGGGAATAATGCCACATTCTATCTTTATGTACTGAATGCTTGAACTTGGGATGCCCTTCAACAATCTTTTGTTTCCACCCTTCTGCTAGTCAGGGATAGAAGAAAGGTAACTGTGGTAGAAATTGTACTGCTTAATCATCTCTAAAAGAGGAAAGCCCACCTCTTATAAAACTATTCAGTCCCTTATAGCTGTTAGGTTCTAGAAATGTTTCCTTGTGTTTCATCCAGGCTTTTAGAACGTAATAGCTATTTGTTCCTCAGTGCCTGTGTCAGATAGACACTGGGAGTACAGAGATAAACCTGAGAGGAACTTTTGACTTGTTAGGTTTTCATTTGCACCTAGCAATGCTTTCATCAACACTTGGGCGGAGACAAGTTTGGAGTAAACAGTACATGGTTCAACATGAAGGTTCTTGTGTAATATGATATTAATAACCATAATGTGTATCCCTGTAATAGACAATAGGAAAAATGTAAGCAATAACATACCTTAGTCCTGCTTTTTCAATATATATATATTTTTTGAGACAGTATCTTGCTAAGTCATTAAGCCTGGAGTGCAGTGGTGCAGTCATAGCTCACTGCAGCCTCCAACTCCTGGGCTTAAAAAATTGTCCTGCCTCAGCCTCCCAAGTAGCTAGTACTATAGATGTGTACCACCACCGTGGGGTCTTGCTCTGTTGCCCAAGCTAGTCTTGAATTCCTGGCTTCAAGCAATCCTTCCAGCTCAGCATCCCACAGTGCTGGGAGCCACCATGCCATCCAAATTTCAGGCTGGAGTGCAGTGACGCAATCTCAGCTCACTGTAACCTCCACCTCCCGGGTTCAAGTGATTCCCCTGCCTCAGCCTCCTGAGTAGCTGATAATACTACAGGCACGCACCACCATGCCCAGCTAATTTTTAGTATTTTAGTAGAAACAGGGTTTCACCATATTGGCCAGGTTGGTCTTGGTCTCCTGACCTTGTGATCTGCCCACTTCAGCCTCCCAAAGTGCTGGGGATTACAGGCGTGAGCCACCGTGCCTGGCCCAAAATTCAGTACTTTTTAAACAAAGTTCTAGATAGTTTTATTTTCATTTGCTTGCTTTCATTCCTATCTTAACTTTAATTTTAACATCTTCCAAGTAGAGTTGCCAACTTTGTTCATTTTAGGAAAATAGATTTTGTTTTCCTAAATGGTGTCATACCTTTTTTA